CTACACACAATAATAACACGGATATGTGATTATCACACAAAATTGTATCCCTAAGCGATGAATCCTTTCACACGTACTAACAAATATTTGAACACATCAACAACCACCCTAAAAATAAATTAACAGAATCATAAATAATTATATTATAACCCAACATTACATAAAACAACATCCTCCACTGTAGTCAACACACCATCAACCCAAACGAAGACAAATCATTCGTCTATACATTGTCACAAAAATTAAGTACATTCTCTCCTCAGACCACATTAAAATAGCCTTCAAAAACCCCAAAACAGTACAGATACTTCCAAAATCAAAGACCCAACACCAACAGCCTTCAAATCCGATGCAATTGATAAACTTAATTCTATGTCCATATACAATATATTATTACATTACGATATATGGAAAAACGAAAAAAACAACGCACCTGTGGCTGTAAAACGCTAAAAACTAATCCCGCAGCATTGGCCGTACACCATTTTGAAAAACAACACGACTTCGATTTCGACAAAATGCAAATACCAAACACTGAAAAAATCAACACAAACGCAATTTCCTAGAAATGGTTTACATTAACAAAGACACACTCAGCATGAATTACAGAATATGCAAACTCAGCCGTAGCTACGCCATCATAAAGCAAATAAACAATCAAACTTTATTTTTATATTTTCCTTTCCTTCGTTATCATCCATAATAATTAACTTCCTTTCCAACATTGAATAAACTCCGAATCACAAATTCAATACAGAAAATTCCCATTCTCGACGTACTTGGAGTCAAATAAAACCGCCCATGATCTCTTGGTGCTGAAATGCAGCTAATTCACCGTGCTATACTATCTAGATAGTGAAGGCAACTATCTCCCCGAGTGTAGGGCCCCACCAGCGTCGGATCTACCGGATCAGCTCCGGCCGCGGATTGGTTTATAGTGGAATTTCTAACCACCCCCGGTTAAGGAAGCCTATGAAGGCACCACCGAACAACTGGCTCTTCTCTAAGTACCCGCCAGGGGCCTCACTATCAGCCAACTAAGATTCCATTCCTATGTAGCACGCTACTGGGCTTGGAACTTGGAATACTCTTGCGCTAACCCGTAGTTTCGTTGGTTATGCACCCTCCCCCGTCTTTCCAGACAGGATCTGATACCCTAATCCTTCTGTGCCACTGATCAGGGACCCGCCGTCTGCGGCAGACTCAAAAGCCAACAAATTCTTTTCACTTGAGGGATTCTGTAGATGTAGTCTTCGCATCCTCGCAGATCATGCGCGTAGGGAAACACGAATACAGCTTATGCTTTAGAGAGTGCACCACACTCTCAAGGCTACACCATTTTTTGTGGCTGAAACCCCCCCCCCCCTGAAAAGGATGGAGAAAAGGACATGCCCGAGAACGCGAGGATCATTTTTCCAGGTTGCACCCCTCGCCCCTGATATAATGTACCGCCCTTTGATACTGTGATCCTGAAAGTAGTGAGGTACGTTTCTTCTGGGTGGAGCCTTTCAAGGGTTATAAAAAGAATGAATTTGCAGAAAATCCAGAGAAGTTAGGAATCTTTTATTTGGAACAGAATATTATTTTCTTAAATTAGGGAAAACAACTAATGCTGAACTGGCTATGGGATACTTATTGGTTCCGTCTTCACTCGTTAAGTTGAACTAATCAAATGCGTTTCATCATTGCGCCATCTTCAGTGAGGAACTCACTTATAACTACATCAAATCCAATAAGCTTTGACGAAAACTGAAAGAACAGAACATTCCACTTTCCAACGTTTGTCGTAACGTTGAATTTGGACAAAATCCAAAGGAGTTATGAATTCTTTAAACAGAAATCAGAAACAAAAATTTGAACCAGGGAGATCCAGCCCGAAAACATTTTTCTGTTTTTCCAAAAAATTTGTATTCAGGGATTTTTTCGGGCAGAATATCAAGTTTCTTTCNTATATATATATTCCAGCCTACTTTGCTAAGAGCATGGGTTTCGTAGACATTTAAATACATCGTTTATGACCCAGCAACTTAGCAAAGCGCGCTAAATTATTTTTTTAATCACGAAATAAAGTCGACATTAATTTTTTACATCGGGAAAAATCCCTAAATACAAATTTTGAGGAAAATAGTTGTTTTTTTGAAAATTTTCGCAGTTGTTTTTTCCGATTTTTTTCAAAAATCAAATAGATATTGAAAACTTTAAAATGCTTTACTGATCCATTTAAAACTTTACATAGGATTAGAACCTTATAAACCACACGGAACGCGGTAAACCTGACCTCCAGAAATAAATTAGAACCGAAGATAAAAAATAAAATATTGGAGACGTTTCTGTTCATTTCAAACTCATTTTTTTTCACTTATAATTACATCAAATCCAAACTCTTCTTGATATAAACTCAACGAAAACATACTCCGCTTTCCAACGGTTGTAATAACGTTGCATTTGGACAAAATCCAGAGAAGTTATAATTTTTTAATCAGATAACGGAGAGAAAAAATTATTTTTTTATTGCTTTAAAATTTCGTATTTACAGGCTTGAAGAAAGGTTTCTTCAAATTAATCCGAATTTCCGAATTGATTTTTTAGAAAACAAATTTTTTATACATATTTTACCGATACTAGATTTTTTAAAAATTTTGAAAATCGAAATATATATATATATATATATGTATATTTAATAAGTTCATAAGTTTCGTGGTCCGCTTGACCAATTAATATATTACAATTAATTAAGGTTGAGATAAACAATTTGAAAAATGGCAAAAAGGAGGGAAAATTCAAAAGGTGTGGTTTAGATGGGAGGTTGGTGTCCGAGTGGATCGAGGTCACGATAGCTCAAGTGGTAGAGCAGCGGCGTATCAAGCCGAAGATCGTGGGTTCGAATCCCCCTCATGCCATTGACTTTTTTATCTCAACTGAAAACCTTAATTAATTGTAAGATATATAATAAGCTTGAAATACATGCACCATAAAGACAGAAAAGTAAGTTCAAAAACAGTGCCTAAATTACTTTTTAAAAACATTTTCGGCCCCCAGGCGTCATTGGCAAGAACGCCCGGACAAATCTTTAATATTCTTCGACCTATCACTCTCTCTCCAAAAAATAAGTTTAATTCAAATGGGCCATCCTTTTTCCGTAGTTCTCATGAGCCATCATAAACTCGCGGGATATGATTTCGCTCAAACGCGTTTCGGCATTACGCAATCATCAGTGATATCACTACTACATGCATTAAAGGTCCACAGAGCTTCTAGATCCTCTATTATTTTCTGAGTTTACTAGTCAGCGGGCTGTAAATCAGGTTTAATAACCACCAGGCACCTGATTAAATAGCCTAAAAGCTAACTGGTAATCTTTGACAAAAATAGAGGGAAACGATAGATCTATTTAGGTCGAGGTGCAGACTCTGTGATCACCTCTTATATCACTTTTTGTTTAGTCATTTTAATCTAATTTACAACCAAGCTGTACAGATTGGATGAACTTTATGGTTCTATAACACTATGCAGTTGCACACGACGCTGTGTATGTTGATTGGCCGTTTTTGAATATTTATTAAGTGGTTTTGTCTAATATTTCGTCTTTTCGCAATCTTCAGTGGGCAACTAAAAACTTATTGTCGCCTAAGAAGGTAGTACTGGGAGAAGAAACATTTAAAAAAATTATTTTCCCCAGTAATGTCCAGGCATGGCGTTAATTTTTATTTATTTATATATTTAATTTTTTAACCTAAATTATAACAAAATACTCTACTTTCCCTCTTTTTTGGATTCAAAAGCTTTATATTTTATTTACAGTTTAGGACGTTCATCGGGTCACCACGCCACCCATCAAAGTGGCCCAACGAACCAGACTCTTGCCATTGTAGTTTTAAGCTATTAGTTGCCCCGAACTTGGTGATGTCACGAAAATACAGAACAATATTGGGTCTAAAACGGATTCTCGAAGTTAATTCCAGTTTAACTACTCTTTGCTGGACGCGGACGAAGGGTCAGAATGTCACATTACAGTTAAAATTCCACAGGCTATATCGGAATTCGAACCTAGGACTTCTTGCGTGGCGAACCATCTGACGCCTTTGCCGCTCGGCCACGATGCTCTACCAGGCAAATCATGAGCCATATCAAACGAAATAGAATTTTTCAGAGGCAGAAGAGCGCAACGTAAACCGATCTAGCTACACAAGTTCAGAAGCCCATGGTCATCCAAGGTGAAGAAAATAACTGATCAATACACGGGCCAAAGTGCTCTGCTGCTTTTCTGCTCGTTACGAGTCTTGACCCGGTAATCGCTAAGACTGCAAGCTCCACAAGGCCGCTGTGCTGTTTCTGTCTGATTATACAAACGTAATTCAAGAGTCTGAATTTAGATCGAGCAAATCCATGGAACGGCGAAGGCAGCACGGTTTTTGGTAAAGAGTACACATCTCCTCGGAACAGATTCCATGTCATGTTGGGAAATAATTTTGTCCTTTATAAAAGCTTTATTATGGACAATTTACGATGGTGTACCAAGACAGTAAGAACAAGGTAAAAGGGGCTGTCTAGTTGAAAACAAACCCGTCGTCTAAATTCACTCACAGCGGGACTTCGCTTGAAAAAATTTGCCGAATTTTAAGTCGTTAACTTCATCTTACAAGTTTAAGCAAAACTTGATGTAACAAGAGAAGGAATAGGTTTTTTTAAAGAAAATATTCTGTTCATCGAGGAAGAAAAATTGATAGTTCTTGCCCTTCTGGTCCAAGAATCAATCTTTAGAATGGAACAAATACAATGAATTTGTTGCGGCCGTTGAAATGCGTGTCAGAGTAAGTGGAACTACAGAAAAAGAGTCGGTGAAGACATGTCAAAGGTTTCCTGGCTTCCAGCGTTGAAATCTTCAGCATCTGCGTATTTTTTTGCCTTTATTTGCGGTTTACTCATAGCCAGAAACGAAAGGGATGTTAAGATGTACGCGGTTAAAAAAAGAAAAAAAAATATATCGAAAATCTACTTACAACCAGTAAGACGAGGCGTCGGTGAGTGCGATGAGACAGAAGACGAAGATACCAGACATCTAATATCCGTGGAACATCTGAAAACAGTCAGGTGGCCAAATAAACGATAAAATGTCACACCTGAAAACGAAATTCCCTGTTAAAAAAAAGGTCACACTGCAAAAAGTTTCATATGTTCAACACTCCCGTGAATTTCGTCGGTTATGATTCGGGTGAAGACGTACCTCCTGGAGAGGGTCCGTGTCCGCCAAGCTCCTGCGCCCAACTGCACCCAAACGTTAACTGAAAAGCCGATCCTTCAGGACTCTGGAGGCTGAGTCCTCCCCCACCACCGTGGACGTCGAAAACCAACCCTTCGACGCGCCCCGGGCCCCCTCCTAGAAAAAATTAAGCCGGGTTTAAAATAAAAGTCTTAAAGTATATTCCCTTACATGTTTTTTTACCGATGAATGATGAAAATTAATAATTTTTAATTATTGACGTCATCAATAAAATCATTAAGAGAACATTCATTAAGAATAATAAAACCTATGGAGTTTTGTTTGATTTTAAAAAGCTATTAATTTATTGTAGTCTTCAATCATAAATGAAATACTAGCATAGCATGAGCGCGATCATAAGGGTTTAAATTAAATAAATGTTCAGTTTAAAACTTTAAGACCTAAATGATATAAAGTTTAGATTGGCGCCAAATAAATCAGTCTTGCCAATACATCAGCCCACTCACTGGGAACAACACTGCGCCCAAACTCACAGGTTTAGCTACGCTTTAGCAAATTTGCTAAAGTTGGTGTTGTCCTAGGCAACTTTGGGCAAAAAAGGGTAAAATTATAAACTGGATATAAACAATTTTATGTTCGGCAAATAAAACAATCGATGCAGTGGTATGGTGAAAGCCTTGTTGGAGGTGGAATAGTGATTCCCAAATTGTGCTCCCCGGGCTGTGCACGGCTGTGCTAAAGAGCGCCGCGAAAATTTCCTATAAAAAATCTTATTATTATATTATTGTTTTTATACTTATAAAAAACCTAAAAACTATACCCCCATTTTGAAACCCTAAAAACGATTTCCCTGTGGCCATCCAATCTCAATATGAATGTTAACAAGGCAGTTTCAATTGTATATTTTAATAATTGCCTAAAAAAGTATTCGCTTTTATATTTTTGCTATTAAGTGCGTAATCGCTTTTCAAAAGGCAAGTTTTGCAATTTCACAAGAAAGGTAGGAGTTTTGATTATTTATTAAATAAAATTGCAAACAAAATAAGAGGTTTAGATAATCAATGCTTTTCTGAATTGGAAATGAATTATTAAGTTCGCACTGACATAGTTTTGACTTAGTGCGCCGCGGAAATTTCGGAAATTGGATGAAAGACATTTGTCCTTAGTCGAGGGTGAAAAAGCTGAGCCAAATCGGGCACTGAGCCGGTATCTTAATTTCAAAATAGACCATGATGTCTTTTGACTACACGAGGACTTACGAGGGTTTGAGATAGTTCCTAAGAGCTGCAGAGGCAACTGTCATTTAGCCTCAGCGAGCGTAACGTTGCAAAACAATTCAGATTTTTTTTCATCAGACGATTGTGTGGGGGATATTAGGAAGCAAGGGTTTGGCCTTATACATGCACTGCAGAATTTTTGGCTTATTGCACTTTTCCCAGTTCTTCCGTTTAATCCAAATCATTCTTTTAAGAAGTACAACGTTATCGGCTATTATCACTGTTTTCCCCGGTTTCTTCAGTTGGTTTGTCTCTATTGACATGTAGCTTTCTATAAACCTGGAAATGGGGTCATCGTTGAATAGACCAAGTTTTCTCAGGTAGTGACCAGTCTACAGCCAAATCACTCCCTAACAGGTCCAGGAGGAGTATGTGTTTGCTAGATTTGACGAGGGTTATATAATCATTAGTTCACTGTCTCTGGTACCTCTAGAGTTCGTTCATTGCTCGTGGCTATGGCAGGATCAACAAGGAGCGAACTAACGGCTAATATGTTAACGTATCAAATTGACGGGTAGAGACATCAGAAGAAAACAAGATACCAGCGTGAACAGTATAAATGGTAGATAAACACTATGACTGGAAGTGTCTATATCTGTAGTAACCCAGTTTACTATCTCTGGCACCTTTAGCGTCCGTCCATTTCTCCTTTTGTTTTGTTCGGACCCTTCCCCCTTCTGAGATGCAGGAATGTTTGTTCTTGTTATCCCAAGTATTGATTCAGGGCCTTTATTTGGTCATGCAGATACCGATCTCAATCTAGATCTCTGACCGGTTTATCTTCTAGTTTATTGCCCATAATTTTTTTAGTCCCTAGCACTCAAGGTTATGCCAGATTGTGAAGTGCGTTTGGGTTATGTTAGGTAGGGTTAAGATTAGGTTAAGTTAGGTTAGGATTCGGTTTAGGTAAGGCTCGGAACAAACACTAATATAAACTAAGACTCTAACATAACAAAAAGTTGATAATGTATTTTAAATATCACGTTCACAATTATTTTATATTTATTCACATAAGATTCATGTACATATATTACTTCGTTAAGACAAATTAATGCTCCTTAATTGTTGATATTTGTATTAAAAAAGTTCAAACGTTGCCGGTCGTTCATATTTTGATTTTAGGATCTTTCGTGTTATATTTTAGGAATGAAACTTGCTTCGGTACATCAAAATGAAGAACAGGTATATGTATTTTATCATGGATATGAGTTTTGGACTGGATAATCAAAAAATAATATTTTTGCGTGACCATTCTTATTTTTGATAATGGTTAAGGACGAGATAGGTTAGGTATGGTATAGAGAGACTTTTGGGACAAGTTAGGGTTAGAGTTATGTTAGGTAGGATTAGGACAAGGATTAGTAGATTAGGTTTAGATTTACATTTAAGAAGTGGATTGGAATTATGTTAGGGTTAGTAAGAATTAAGGCTTGAGTTAGGTCGTAGGCGGCCATTCCTATTTTGGTTTTACTACTTTAAAACTTCCGTTGCTTGCTACTTTAAAACTTGTTATCGCTTCATCACAATGGAGAAGTGGTTTATATGCCATTTTTTAACATGGATATGATTTTGGACTGAAAAAACAAATATTTTCGCGTGACCATTCTTATTTTGCTAAGGTTACGTATGATTTGGAAAGAGTTAGGGCAAGGATTAATGTTAGGATTAGGGATTTTTTATCTTTTTGGTTTAGGGGTTAAATGGCTGATTAGTTACATCCGGATTTAGCAGGTTTAAAAACTGATCAGGTGTCTCCGGTTTAGGGAGTTCGAAGGGTGACCAGGTCCCTACGGGTTTAGGAGGTTGGAAGGCAGATCAGGTGTCTCCGGGTTTAGGAATTTAAAAGGCTGATTAGGTGACTCCGGTTATAGGAGGTTGGAAGGCTGACGACGTATCTCTGAGCTTAGGAGGTTAAAAGGCTGATCAGATGTTTCCGGATTTAGGAAGTTAACAGGTTGGTCAGGTATCTCTGAGTTCAGGTTGGACAGCTGACCAGGCTTATTGGGTGTCTAGATGTTAGGAGGTTAGAAGCTTGAATAGAAGTTTAGAACGCTGTCTACTAACTACTAAGGCTTTTCATCAGGGTCGACACTACTTCTACAATTTCTTTCTCCTTATGTTGAACATTACCTAATGGATAACGCCACTCAACAGTATCTTAAAATAATTAATTAAGGTTTTTAGTTGAGATGAAAAAAAGTCAATGGCACGAGAGGGATTCGAACCCACGACCTTCGGCTAGATACGCCGCTGCTCTACCACCTGAGCTATCGTGACCTCGATCCACTCGGACATCAACTCCCCATCTCAACCCCACCTTATGACTTTTCCCTCCTTTTGCCATTTTTCAAATGTCGTACAATCGGTTTGGATTCTCGACGACAATTGAAATGACGACGGAGAGCTTTAGTGAAGTGTACTTCATTTTTAAATCATTAATTCACTATTTTCTCAACTAAAAACCTTAATTAATTGGTCAAGCGGACCACGAAAATAGTGAATTAGTATCTTAAAATATTACATTACTCCATTCCCTCAAGTATGTAGCGGTCTGGACATGCGCTTCAGTTGTATATGAAGTAAAGTAAACGTCATACAGGATAATCGTCCATTTATTAGGAGACATGGTTTTTGCTGTTGTTTACCTCATACCGATATATACGATGTAGTAAGGACATTTTTCCAATTTAACTCAAACTGCTCGGACTTACCAAGTCTGACGGACAAAAAATCAAGGTACTCATTGGGTAAGTTTTTTTTTGGGAAACGCTGTATCTAGTTTCAAGAAAAAGACGAGAGGGGAACGAGTCCATCCTCATTGTGCCTCCGCGCTGGTTGTAAGGTTTTTGCCTGCCCCGCGAGTGCAAACCGTTGCTGGTTTTTTACCCAATTATTTTATTATAGAACAAACACCCGGTTTGTTGGTCGGCCTCTTAAAAAAAAGGGAAAAAATCGGTGAAGGGGGTTGAAGTACAAGGGTCGAATAATGAGCGCCCCTCCTCCATATCCACCCCAACATTGTTATAATTGGAGATCGTTGCCCTAATTGGTCTTGCCAACCGAGAAGATTGCACTGCTTTATTATTTAATCTCTATTCATATCTTTAATCGAAGGATTAACTGTCCTGATGTCAGTCTCGAAATAACTTACCGAATTAATAATATTTACCGTACTTATAACGACCCATCTTCAATCATCTGTCTGAATATTGGCCGTTTAAATTAAAATCTTTCGTCAGTAAATCTATCTTTACTTTATTATTGTCATTTGACGATTTCGTTGAAAAGTAGTCAACTCCAAACGGTCTGTTATATAAGGACAATAGCCTAGTTCTAGACGTCCCGCATCAGGTTCTCTTACTGGACAAGCAACGAGTAGAAAGGCATTCACAAATCAGCACCTCGCTCGGACAATTCAACCCTCCCCCCGTTGAATGAAGAGTGTTATCTTTTGTTCTCTTCCCAGATGAGTGCCTGTTTGGTTTATAGCAATCAGATGACCTGGTCCGTGTGCTGAGAAGACATGGAGAACGCTTCATGTGCCATGCGTGCCTGTGACTGGCCTTTTCAAAGACAGTCAAATTTCTATTATTTTCTTCCCTTTCTAATCTGATATACCCGGAGATACTGATCAGCCTACCAACCTCCTAAACGCAGAGATCACCTGGTCAGCCTTCCAACCTTCTAAATCCGGTGATATCTAGTGAGCCTACCAACCTCCTAATCTCGGAGATACCTTGGTCAGCCTTCGAACCTCCTAAACTCGGAGACACCTAATCAGCCGTTTAACCTCCTAACCCGGAAATACCTGGTCAGCCTTCGAACCTCCTAAACCTGGAGACACCTAATCAGCCGTTCAACCTCCTCAACCCGGAGACACCTAATCAGCCGTTTAACCTCCTAAACCCTGAAATACTTGGTCAGCCTTCCAACATCCTAAACCCAGAGGCACCTAATCAGCCTTCCAACGATCTAATCTCGAAGATACCTTGGTCAGCCTTCCAACCTCCTAAACCCAGAGGCACCTAATCAGCCTTCCAACGATCTAATCTCGAAGGTACCTTGGTCAGCCTTCCAACCTCCTAAACCCGGAAACACCTGATCTGTCTTTCAACCTCCTTAACCGGAACAAGCGGGTCCGAAGAAAAGACCTTGCAGCTTTTTTTCTCAGGGTTTGATGTGGAGTAATGACAAGTAACTACTGAAACGAATCGTCTCCGAGCATCAAAGTTTGCCGATTCTCGAAGTTTAACCGAATTTCGCCATCTTCAGTGTCTTGTCTGAGGATTTAAAACTAAACAGGTGACAAATCGAAAATATTCTATCTACGATCACATTGTTTACGGTCGTCATCTTACTTTTTAACGCTTCGTCGGTGGTTTTTGAATCGGGATGTAAAGTTTCCGCTCACAAGTGTAGAAAATCGACCAAGTTCTGCAAAAACGTCGCAACAAGTTCAAACCGAGCCTCTTTAATGCGTGTGTACGTTTGTTGGAGTTGTTTCGGGAAAAGGTGAGGGCGGTTGGGGAAAATTAATGTTTCACGCCGACACGCGAAAGCAACTTTGCGAAGCAAGACAAATTTATAACCACCCCATGAGACTTTATAGAAAGTAGCTATATTCACAAAAGGGCAATATATCTCCCGACCCTAAGACATTGCTATATTAAATGTTATGCAAATCAGCCCAGCGCAGGGGATTCCACCGACGATTCCAATCGTCCCACCCCCAATGAATCATTTTCATGAATTTATCGTTTGTTCAAACGCAAGATTATTTAAATGACAATTAGTGGTCTTATTTAATATTTCGAATAATGGCTTCAGTTTCCGAGCCGGGGGGAGTTTAGATATGGAATGCTGAGGCTATCGTTTCGGCCCTTTTTTCTTTCTTAAGCGGATCACCGTGGCGTTTGAAAAGAATGACCACCAAAGCAGAAAAAAATCCCTTTCTGTTTTTTTCTTTTCTGCAGATATACTTTTCCGATAATTAGCAATTTTTCCCTATTTTCTTCCACAATGTACTAAATTCTCTTAAGCTCTCTATACCATTTCGGCAATCGAATACGGTCGTGAAGAACATTTTTTTTGTAAACTAAGTAAGGGCTTGAAATCAACGAGACCATATTTCTTGAGGACTTTTTCTCCTTGCGCGTGGGTAGACGACCACATTAAATTCTTTCTTCGGGACGACGACGCATTAAACGAAACGGATCTCTAAAAGATATCAATTGTTTTACGCATGTTCATCTACTCTCACTACGCCATAACGCCGGGGTAAAGATAATGACTCCTTAGCTCCTGCAAGGATAGGCCATGTCAACTAATAAGGGAAACTGAGGAGGAGATCCAGGCAGATGCCATACTAGGCATGCGAATCGATGCCACTATTCCAAAATATAACTTCACCAACAAAGTACAAGGTAACTTATACCAGAAAGGGAAGAGTCGGCCAAAGGAATACCTATGAAAGCCAATTCCTACTGATGGCTCTAACTATAAAACGGATAGAGGCACGGGAGCTGGAGTCTTCTGAAGGAGAGTTCTAAACTCTAGGTTATCCTCAAGAAGCTTCTGATTACTGTTTTAGAGCTCACCCTGACATTACGGGCCGTTTGGAGTTGACTATCTTGGAAGACATTAAATGATGGCTCCGTAATGCGATAAGACCACCAAAACGATCGTCTCTAGCCGTTGTACATCGCGGTCGACCTCCTCTTCTATTGAGGCTTCCGGTGGATCTTGATACTTTTACCAGAAAAGGAAAAGGGGAAAACGGAAGTGGGCCAAAGGAACAACTCCAACTGGTATATCGACGACTCAAAAACTGATAAACTATAAAGTCACTGGAGTCCTCGTGATGAATCCGAAGACCGAACTGACTTAAAACTTAAGTAAATACGCTAGTTTTTCAGATTGAAATCATCGCAATTGATCACTGCGCCGGGGAAATGAAAAAGCTTGGAATACATTCCCGGAGGATAGCGGCACTTAAGGCCTTAGCCTCATGCGAGGTATAGGTAAAAAGAGTATGAAATATGGAAGCCCTGGCAGAAGTCAGTGACCCAACGACCTGACCCTGGCATGGGTCCCTGGGCATTCGGGACATAGAGGCAATGAGAAAGTGGATATGTTGGCCAAAAAAGGAGCCGATATGAATTCTCTAGGCCTAGCACCTTGCCACAATAAAAGTTACCTCCAAAAATGGATCCTAAATGAGACTAAAACCTGGTGGAACAATACCCCAGGCATGAGGCACGCGAAGAGATTTATAGAAGGGCCATCCGCAAGACGTGAAAGGAATTACTGGAGTGTAACGCAACAGAAAATTCTGGTTTGGCTCCTGACAGGACACTGCCGCCTAAGAAGGCATATGCACCGGTAGGATAGACAGAGGAAACACTGCCAAGAATAGACCACAGAACACTTTTTACGATTCCGTGAGGGCCTGTGTAGGTGTAGATTTTTGCAACAAGGAGAAGAAAAATCGAAATGGACGTTGATTAACAACCTGAAGCTAGTTAGTGATTTATAAAATTAGAGGAGAACGATAGATCTACTAAGGTCGAGGTGCAAAAGGCCTTGTACCACCTCTTTTATCCCTATCCCTATGCCTAGCTCGTGTAAGGAACTCGTCATCTCTTCCTCACAGGACCCATTTAAGAATTATTGTGTCCTACAATTGTCTAACAATAATTTTCAGCTTTACAACTTCCAAAACCCAGATGCACCCACAGTACTCCTGGTCAGTGTTTCAACCTCTAAATCCGGATACACTTGGTCAGGTGAGAAGGTTGACCAGGTGTCTCTGAGTTTAGGAGGTTAGAAGGCTCATCAGGTCTCTCTGGGTTTAGTAGATGCATCCATTCACCATTACCTTATCCTAAAATCTTATCTACCGAAACGGATGTTACAAACTCTCTCTCTCTCTCTCTCTCTCTCTCTCTCTCTCTCTCTCTCTCTCTCTCTCTCTCTCTTTCTCGCTCCCCCTCTTCCTCTCCTTCTCCCCTCTCTCGCTTTCTGTCTGTTTCTGTCTCTGTTTTTCTCTTTATTTCTCGCTGTCTCTGTACCTATCTCTCTCTCTCTCTCTCTCTCTCCCCTCGCTCCCCCCCCCTCTCTCTCTCTCTCTTTCAGTGTATCAGGAAATGATGGACGTGCTCTCATTCGTCTTTTGAGGTTATCCCATAAATGTCCAATGGGGTTCAAGTCTGGAGAACGGACGGACCCTGATGTGTTGAAAGTAGTTTTCTACTATGCGAGCGACATGTGGACGAGCATTATCGTGCAATAGAATAGGATTGTAGCTGATTTCATCGAGGATAGGACATTCATGAGGTACCAAAATTTCATCCACATAGCGAGTGGCCGTCAAAGACCCTCCACGAACGACGACCAACTCTGGGCGACTCTCCATTGAAATTCCCGCCCACACCATCCCTGAGCTACGTTGAAAAGGTTGGCTCTGGGAAAAATTATAGGCTTCATACCTTTCATTTCGCCTTCTCCACACTCTTTTCAACGACGCCCATCTGGAGATCGTAGAGCAAATCTACACTCATTGTAAAACGTACCGTCCAAAGACCAATGGCTGTGTTCTCGAGCAAATGGGAGCCATGGAACTCTGTGTGTTCTGGTCAATTCTGATCCTCTTACGGGGCGAAAAGCCATCAGTCAATACTGATTTAATCTTCTTTGAGCAGTGCGTTCAGAAATTTGGACAAACTTCCTGGAGCTGATGAATCGCTTGAACAACAATGACGTACCGGTTTCGCAAAATTATCAAAGTCAAAAAACAGTCATCCTGTGGTTCTGTTACCCTAGGGCGTCCAGGACCGGGCCTTCTATGGTAGAAGGTTCTTCAAAACGTCTAACGGCGTCTCGCAGTGTTTCGTAGGGAACTCCGATGGCAATAGCCGTATACTTGATGGAACGTCCATCATCGATAAGTGCCACACCACGCGCAACATCCTAAGAACTAAGCGGCATTTTTAAGTTTAAAAATTGAAATTAAGAAAACCAAGATGAAAACTAAACAGTTTGTTGCTTCACATTTCAAATGAGACTGAATAAACATTTTAATATCCGTAAAAAGTAAACATTGAAAAATCCTTTATCTTTGTCCCACCATAGCTTAAACAAATATTTATTGGTAAAAACAATGAGGCAAATTAAGGGCAGGATTTTCTTTCATTGAGAAAATGAAAAAAAAATCAATTGGGTGGAATTTTTTGCCTTTCAGTGTATAGTGGTTAAATACCCATATAAATAAATATTCTGGTCGAGGACGTTGCTCCCTCCCCTATAATTTTATATTTCATAAAATAATCTGATCGGTTACTCCTCAAGATTTACAAGAAGTACGCAGACCGCTTTTGTTACTTTGATGTTATAAAAGTGTTATTTCGACAAATAAGTGAAAATTCTCCGTAGAAGGGAAAAGGGAAATTTGCGGTCAACGTTCGCTAGGCTCAGCCTGTTCAGAGTCTCAGACTTAGAGTCACCAGCTGAGGTAACAAGAACAACGTTCCGACTGTAAGATTAAAAGGCGTAATCGTTGTAATCCTTTCAACGGGTTCTTTGGTGTAAATTGTCGGTTTCATGTTTGGCCGTTTTCCTCGGTGACCTCCACCATGAAACCCCCGGTGTTTTCCTAATTTTTAATCAGTCCCTTTACCAATAAATTGATATGCTTTTGAATTACGCTTACGAATTTATTCACGAAACGATTCCAGAATATTTCCAGGCGGTGACGGGACAATTTCGAACCGAGAATCTCTATTTTGTGTACGAGTTCTTCAGCACTCTAACTCCGGCTGTCGTCAACTTCGTCTCGCAGAACAGCAACTACAAGTTCCAGTTCGACGACCTGCAGATATTCCTCGTAGGGATTTTTTCTACGGTCCTTCTCGTCAACTCCGTCGCAATTTACTTCTACTGGAGGTGGTACGGGGCGAGGGTCGTCAAGAAATGTAAAAAAGCCGGTAAGCGGATCTCGTTTCGTTTTTTTTTTGTTTTGGAAAAAAATTCTCCGGGAGAAGAACGTTTTTTTGCACTCCAATGTCCCGTCTTCATCCACGCGACACGTCTTCGTACGAACCATCAATAGATCTTCCGATGATCAACAATTAGGTCCCATCTTCCCTCCCTTAAAAATTTAGAATAAAAATCGCATGATAAGACGTGTTTCTTTTTCTCATCCCTTCGTAACTCCTAAAAAATTTTGATTTTTTTCCTATGGAGGACGAATTTCCTTCAGTCCGTCGGTTTTGGAACGTCTTAAATCTTCGCACGGTTTCATTGCAACCTTGTTTTATGATGTACCTATTATTCCAGTTGGAAAAATTATGATTCATAGATCTTTAACGGCATCGATTACTAACCATTGTCAGTCCACATCATTACAGTTCATTTTGTTTGTATTTCTACAACCACCGATCATCCGGGTCATTTAGTTCCCATATGTAAGTATGAATTGGTCAGAGCAATTCTGGCATTTCACCTGCTGAACGTCTGAAATAGTTGAAACTAAAAGCCTGACATCAAACCCCTGTTATAGTCATTAAAAACATTGCACATAGCCACTTCAGATTAAAATTTCCAAAATTGAAGTGCTCAATCTGAATGTGTGGATGCTTTGAGTTCAGCTCTTCATAAATATTTGTGTCCTTTGAAGTGGACAAGGAAACCGATAATGAGGTGAGCACTGAATATTGTTGCTCGGCGAATAACCGACCACCCGCCCTCACTAGTCGGGATTCGGCGAACCTTTACTCGGCATTCGATGAAGCCAGCACGTCTGGAAATACTTTTAGGTTCACTGTGGTGTGATCATACAGCATTTGAAAGCTAATAATTCAGTCTGATTGGGTGAACCAGTTGCCGTTGGCGTGTGCCATCTTTGGCCACAAATGCACAGTTCAAGTGTTCATCGATTTTTCACTTTCTTTCCTTTTTAACTTCCTCATTTCTGCTGGATGTGGCCATTCTCGATAATTAACAAGAAATCCGAGTGGGCGTTTATGTGTTTTCTTCCAATGTCTATTGGACTTTCTCTGGATGCACACTGCTTGATATGACATTGTTTTATATCCTTTAATATTCTGTAGCATTAATCTATAGTACTTTTTTTTATCATCCGCATATCCAAGTAGTGTGTGAAATACTGGCATAAGGACTCTTTTAGACAAGCGGTTAATCGATTCTATTCTTTGAACCGATGGGTGTCAAGGTGTATAACATATACAGTACGTTTATAGATTATGGCAGCAATTTTTATAGGAGTGCCACTAAGACCCATTTGACACAACTAGATAGGCTCCAAGCTACTAGAAGCTGTATAGGTGCTAGGGTGTCCACACCTTCTAACGCACTGTTATGTGAAGCTCTACATATAAGACATGATAAATTGGCTGGAAAGTACTCTCTCAATGTATCAATTGCATATCACTCCCAGCAATCAGGGCCCTTGTCCAAAGCATGTCATACCAACAGTCTCAAGGAAGATAGAAGACGGGGAAAACTTTCCTACTGCCAATGGTAATGTGACATGGAACTCTATGCTTTGGGAGGGATGTAATCACAGCACAGAAGGTGGTTCCATCCCCCCCATGGATTCACCCCAAACATTTCCTATGGACCTTTAAGGTAAACCGGATTTTGTCAAATTTGGAGTTCGTGCGGCTGTATTGGATGTAGGCAATGCTATAATTATTTTAAAAAAACAAACAAAAAAACTGCCAAATGAATCCTCAATCTTCACAGCTGAAGGATCAGTCATTATGGACCCTCTTACTCATATAGAGGAACAGAGTCTGTAAAACAAACAGATAGTCTCAGAATGCTAACTGCAATTAAAAATGAGCAACATATAAATGATCCATAGCAGGCAGAAATTGCTGGACTTAGACAATAAAAGGGGCCAAATATATAAGGGGTGGGTAAATGGCAAGGGGTGTGGGGGGGTGTTGAAATAAATACAATGATAGGGTCGATCTACTCGCAAAAAAAGCAGCTTGCTCCAGTAAAAGTATCACTGCCAATGACATCACGGCCCACATAACCAAGTTTAGAAGATGTGCATGGAAAAAGGAATACAATACAACAAAGGTAAAAAGTGTCTGTAGTTGCCAACCCCTGGTTATCAACTCTTGATGTACTGAGAAGGCTACTAAAAACAATAATCAATCAGTCTACAGCCACAATAGTCTACGCCCTCACTTATAATGACTAGGTATGCAACAAATCCCACAGATAGACATGGGCATATGTCGATCATATTCCACTATCTTGTACTCGCACTTCAGAAGGAAGAGAGGTATTCATAAAAAAACCTAGTGAATAATGGCATCCCTTTAACCCACAAGGTGTAATATCTTGCTGGGCAGGGTGGAAAAAAAATCAATGCTATTGGTGTATTTATAGGCAGAAACAAAATAGATTTTTAATAAATCAAAAATAATAATAATAACAAGAAATGAATACTAAATAAAAGTGAAATAAGAAGAAGAGAGCTAAATAGGCAAGGCAAAAAAGTGAAACCTCTTCATGCACAGTCAACTTGCCCAAGTGAGTGGCCAGTAGCCACAAGTGATATTCAAATTCTCATCCTAACTCAGAAGACTCAAGTCAGCATTCATCCTTCACACCTGAGTTCATCAAGCATTGCAATAACAAGTTTCCATGTGGGACAGTTCATTGAAGAAATCTGTATTAGTACCGCAATATAAGACATGAAGTGTAGCGAACAACTTAAAAGGAGTGAAGCTGCAATGCAGAAGTTGGGTGGAAGCGCCCGGTTTTGTAACAAAAGAGAGCCCACACTTTTCCTCGACTGTGTTCCTCATTTTTTTGTTAGAAGTGCTCCTGTTTCCTTGCATTCTAACATTGTACTAATCTCCTGTTAAAAAGAAAAGTTGATTCCACAAGTTACATGGTGTGAAACCTACCAAGAAGAGCATTCACACGAGGCAGTTTATTTAAATTAACCAAACTGAAAGAGGCCAAAGTAGCATCCGAATGATAGCTCCTTTATAGTTTATGTGTAAGTTTTGCTTCATAAATGCACAGTATATCCTAGCAACTTTTTGATTGAGATGAAATGTACAGTCTGTTGGTGCATATCTTGTTGTTTACACATTTTTTAATGTATATCTTAAACCCATCGAGTAGTTGGACGTTAAGCCATAAATGGGAATTACTTTACTTTTACTTGAGACTTTATGATGATGCTTTACAGTTTAATTTATTTTGATGTAGGTAATGACATTTCTTAATCTTACATTAAAACGTCGACTTCTTTCTCATTTGGAAAGTGTTGTCATTGAAAGACTACTTAAACTGCTTAATTATCCCTTTAGTGTCTGATTACAAATCCCATCTATGTTTCAATTATGTATTAATATTTTAATAATTTTCCATTCAGATACAAGGAAACTGATAGAAGAATTGAAAAAAAGTGTCGACCTCTTAAAGTTACCTAAAATACATTCACCAAGGATCTAATATGGCTGACAAGCTTCGTAATCTGTTTTCAAAAAAGAAGGACGGCAAGTTCAAGGGTCGCGGCCAACGCCTGAACGATGCCGATTCTCCTCCCGAACCTAGCCCTCAGAAAGTTGTAGAACCCATACCCCGTGAAATGATGACAGAAGGACAGCGACAAGCTGGCCTCGCTGCACTCGCCAGATTGGCCAACACACCTGGAGGATCGGCTAGGAGGTTTGTAAATTTTTAATCATTTCAAAAACTGAAAAAGTGGAAAGGAAATACAAAACACAAATATATAACTAATATCAATAAATTATGACTATTGGATTTTATTTTTGCTTTAGTGCTTTTGCTTACCAGCACGGCAAAATGGAAGCCGATCTTGGGACAGGAGCAATTGTGGATGATAAATTACCTGAATTGCTGGCAGTACTGGGTGTTTATTACAGATGTCCTTTTATCGGTAGGTTAGAAATTAATATATTGCTGTACCATTTTAATAATTGAATAATTTGCTTATAGGTCCAGAAGTTTTGTCAAAAGCAGAGTGGAAAGAAAAGATAAAGAGCTATCTGGAAGAACAACTAAAAGTGGATCAAGCACTTGCATCTTGTCTAATGATACACACTCTCAATAAAAACCGGGAGAAAGTAAGCTTAACATTTATTAGTAGTTCTCAGTGGTATAATTTTTTGATAATAGGGGCTTATATGAAATCATCAATTAAAGGGTTAATTATTAACAACTGGAACTGTTTGCAATATAAAAAAAATAACACTTTATGGTGTTTCAGTTAACCTTACAGCAAGGTAATGGATGTTTTATAGGTTGATTTATCATTAGAAAGAAAACATTTGCGAATACAGTAATTGCACGACTTTATTTAGAAAATTGGAACTTTGCATTTCTTGGTCTAGTTATGTAAAATTATGCTTCATTATCCTAACTTTATTAATGAAGAATTAACTTTATTATTAAAGACTGAATAATTATCTGTAAGGAGTGTTGTAATGGAACCACTCATGTGAAGAACACGTTACATTATGCTTTACAAACATAATTCTCTGGACAAAGGAAAATACATTTTGGACAAATTTGGGTTTTGTTATTATCTTAATTGTTTGATTGTGTTTGTTTGAATAAATATGTGTATTAAAATATTTAAACAACATGGTAATTCGTTTAGACATTATAATCATTATAGGGATTTCCCAAATGTGCAATTTTCTCTCTGTGTTCAGAATAACTCATTTTTTCATAATTACCTTTATTCAGCCATTATTATCCTCAGTTCAGAATTTCATCGACACTGGAGCTTAGTCGACTCTCACTACATCACACCGGTTTCGCATGTCTGAGATTTTAAAGGTATACAGTATGACAAGAGTCGATATGCGTGCTATACACTTAAAACTTACGCCGTTTCTCTGATCATATAGACTTATGAATTCAAATAAAGTTCCTTTCACTCCTGAGAGAATTAAAACTCAATAGGAAAACAGCATATATTAACTGGCTTTACTACCAGACAATCTTGACCCACTGGCTGTAACAGAGCTATCATAACTAATAAGGTATGATGCTGTTAGTTTGTTCTCTATTCACAAAAGGATTTCCTTCCAAACTCAGGACAGAAGTTCATAGTGTGAGTAGGGTATTTGTGTGATGTTATTCAATACCAACTTGACCAAACCTAAACCATCTTTAATTTTAATTCTTTCCAAACCTATCCCTTCCCTAGCCTTTATCCTAACACATACCTAAACTGTCATTATTCAATGCCATGGATATGTAACCTAATGGTACTTACCTAACAACAATTTTTAATAACCTAATCCTAAAACTAATAGGTCCTTGATCCTAACCCCAACTAAACCCTCTTCCTAATCCTGTACCAAACCTAGCACTTTTCTAACCCTAATCACTTAACAAAATCTAGCCAAATGTAATCCCCCTAACTAGCAAAGTCTAAACTGTCAGTAAACCAAACCAAACTTAATCGTCTTTGATCTTGATCCTAACTGAACCTTTCCTTAATCCTAAACCAAACCTAACATGCCTCTAATCCGAACCCTAATCACTTAACAAAACAACCAATCCCTAACTCTAATCAAACCTTATCCCATCCCTAACCCAAACTCCTTAACCTAACAAACCCTAAACTGAAATGTATTTCAGCATCATAGATGATGTAACCTAACTTTTCCATAATCTTGCTTGTACCGAATCTTAAACCTAACATTATCCTGATCATAATCCCAGCCATTTCTAAACCAATTTCAACCTAACCTAACCATTCTTTATCTTAAACCAAACTTAACCTGCAAATATTAAACCTTCCCCTCCCCAATCCTAAAGCGGCCCATAGACAGTCCATATTATTGTACAATATACATTGCACAATAATTTGACAGTTGCCCCTTAACGTTCAATAATATTGTACAAAATTTTGTTTGTGCAATGAAAATGAATAGTTTGAAGGCGATATTGAAGTTTGTGCAATATTTTCCACTTGTTGATACTTCACAAACTGACTGATATTGCGCAATAATGCCAACAGACGGTGCAATATTTTCCAGGTTGTACAATATATTTTCAACTTTTAGTCAATCATGCAATGTATTGCACAAACTTTCAATATCGTGTACACACGATCAATTAAATTGCACAACCCAAAATATTGTGCAATAATATTGATCGTCTATGGGCCGCTTTAGACCAACTGTCCTTAATTATAAACCAGACCTTACATATCCTAACCTTAATCACCTAACCTTACCAAATTCATCCTTAAACTGCAATGTTGTTCTATACTGACTAGATTGTATTGTATTAAGGATGAAGTGCTTATATCTGAAACAATGGGCTCAAATAGCTGATGAAGTTATGAAAAGGTTGGGTGGGAATAATATAATGTGTAAAGTTTAGGGCCATGGTTTACAGTTTATCTGATCGAATGGATTTTTTTTTAAATTTTTTTACTTTAATTCATAATAACTAATTTGAATAATGAATAAATAATTGTCGATTCTCACATTATGAATTTTGTTGCTGCAGGTGTCTGAGTGCATTGAAATTCTGTGCACTTACCTGAACAACATTTTATCACATCCTGATGAGGAGAAATACAGAAAGATTCGAAAGTCGAATAGAAATTTTTCAGAGAAGGTTATGAAAATTGAGGGAGCTTTGGAATTTCTTTTATCAGCAGGTTTTAAGTCATGCTCCATCCAGAGTGAAGATACAACTGAGGAATATTTATTATTTGAAAATGAAATTGATGCTTCACATTTTGAGGTATGTGAATATTTTGTTAGCATTTTTAATCATATTAAATAACATAATTTCTAGTTTTTAATGGACTCATTGAGATCAGCAGAACCAATCCGTCTAGAGCTTGACAGAAACCCGCAAGTCCTTTTAGCGAATCAAGCTTCAAAAATGTTAGATTTGCCGAGTGAGTTTTACCGTCTAACAGTTGAAGAACTAAAACGTGAACAACGTCAAAGGTACTTTAGTTTTATCAAATTTGCTATTTGTTCTTAATGTTTGAGAGAGTTTTTAGGACTGAATCATTGGAAGCTGCTTCTCAGTTACGAACAAAGGCAATGCGTGAGAAAGCTGAGCAGAAAGAACTGAGAAGATATCAATACACCCTTATACGCATCAGGTTCCCAGATGGTTTATTTTTACAGGTAATTGAAACTTTCACATTTTGAACAAATTCATTGCTGTTTTAGGAAAAAAAATGGGAAAATGGATATGTAACCTAAACCTATCCAAACTTACATTTAATCTGCTAAACTACCAAAACCTAACCTGTCCCTAAATTAAACCCAACCCATCCCTAATCCTTAACCCAGTCTTTATCTTAAACCAAATCTAAGTTGTCCCCAATCCTTAACTTAACCTGATATTTATCCTAAACCCAACCTAAGCTGTCCCAAATTCTAACCCTAATCACTTAACAAAATCTAACCAAACCCCCAATCCTAAACCTGACCTAATTCTATTGTTGAAATGGATATTCTACTCACAAACTGTGGACATGTTATGGTATATACAATTTGTAAGCAGAACTAATTTTTTGGACCATTGAATTGATGTATTCACTTCATTGTAACCATTTTTAATAATCTAATCATAACCAAAGCTGACCCATCCCTAATCCTAAATCTAACCAGTCTCTGACCTAACCATTCCTAACCAACAAACCTGACCCTAATGCTAACCCTAATAACTTAAAACTTGACCAACCATTTGTAACCTAACCCAACCCTCGCTTACTTTCTAGTAACACAAAATCGACGATGTGAAAATGGTTAGATAAAAAAATTGTCTATCCAGTCTAAAAGCATTTCCCTGTTAACATCAATATGCATTATTTTTAAGATGTTTAAGATAATAGATATATGCTACAATTGTAACCACTAAAGGCAATTAATTTTGGTCCATTGCTTGTTATATATTGTTGTGTTAAGTCCCCATAGGTCAGCTAAAGGCTGCCTTCTCTTCTTGCCTCTAACACAGACCTCACTCTCAAATTGTATTACCATGTTGCTGTTTACTCAATATTCACTTTCATTATTAGTTAAATTTGGATAAATATGAACAAAGGATTGTTTTCTTTTTATTGAATTTTTTTCTGATTTATTGTATTGAGTTGGTAATTATTATGCTCACATTTGCAGGGTACATTTAACGTCTATGAACATTTCATCGAAGTCAGAAAATATGTGTCAGATTGCCTCGAAGTCCAAGTGCCATTCGATTTAATGACCGCTTTGGGAAAATTGCTGACTGACAGCGATGATGAAACAAGCCTCCTCGATTTGAAACTTGTCCCTGCAGTACTCCTTACCATCAACATCAAATCGTCAGAATTGTCCGGAGAAAAGTCATTCATTAAATCCGAACTTTTATCAAAAATGGAAACAATATAAAAAAAATTCTTCAATTATTTCAATTATTCTCGTTAAGTTTGAATGCAATTTTTTTCTGGTCATATTTATAATACGCATTACTTGTGAGTTGATCAAGTTGCATGTTGTAATGGTTAAAAAAATACAACTACTGTGAAAATTTTTATAATAATGCATAGAATTTTTATTGAAAAAAAAAGTTTGTCAGCAATGTCACAATTGAATGGCGACAGAGAGTTCACTACTGCCCGGCAATTTTGAAAATTTATTTTATATTCTGAATTTTGCTTTTGTTTTAAGATTGAAAAATTACACAAGGATATAAACACCAAAGTTTTTCTCTCAGCCTCTGGTTTTTAAATGTGTATCATTAAGTAACTTTAATTTTTTCTCAAAATGTTTAGATTTGTTGTTAAAAAAAATTGACTAAGCATGAATCTTGTTCCTCCAGGACTTTGTAATACATTGGATAAAGGGTTTGCCAAGATCCATTGAAAATGTACCCCTATGTCATGAAACAATTTGCTTTTGGCAGTAGTAAGCAGCTGGCCTAAAGTTTCGATCACTACTTCACCAATTACTTATAATAAAATTTATTCTTGTTATTGTATCTATGCATCTTTCTCATGCGGAAATTGTAAATCCAAATTAAAAATTACAATAAAAAGTTGTATTAAAAAATATTGCAAATACCGTTGAAAATAAAATTTATTGTCGTTGATGTATATATATATTTCTTTTTTTATGAGGGTTGCAACAGCAGAGGTCGTATCAACCCTCGGGTGTCGGTGTTTAAAAAAAAGAAGCATATTTGTAAGTATGTTGGGTTTGAATGAGGGGCTGCTTTATTTAAACCCGGGACCTTCAACAATGTTAAGGGCCATGCCAACGCCTAAACCATTGTGGCCACTGATGCTCCCATTGATCTATATTGTGTTACTATTAGATTTATGCGATGGTTTTTTATTGATATTGCATACCTTTTGGTCTGACAAGTCTGCAGGCACTCCTTTGTGAAGCCACACCAATCTTTTAAGAAGTGGAAGGTTATTTGACTGTTCCTTCTTGGTACGGTTATGTCTCAAGTGATGATCTAAGTGGCAATCTTCCTTATAATTATTTGGTAAGTATTAAAAAATACTTGAAAATAGAACAATTGGGGTATTCAAAAATTAGCATTAAATACAATTGTTTATTTACAATAAGAATATAACATTGTCTTGATTTGCAATATGCAAAAGATTGGGAAAGGGGGAGTTGGAAATAGGCATATAACCCAACAAAGCTACATCGGGAAACAAGCTTCACTAAAAAATGAATACATATTTTCATAGGTTTTTTATACAAACATTTCATCACACTAAACGCACAATTAAAACTAGGTAAATCTATGAACAAACGATTTATTCGAAAATTTTCCAATATCTTTACAGAAATACAAGACAAAAGTGAATGGGGTATGAAAAGGAGGTAAAGAATTTAAATTTTCTAAAGTAAAAAAATGTCAATTAGAATCGTATGGAACCTCAAAACATTTACATTTTCTCTCAACAGTCCATGAACACCCGTTTAAAACATTTCGGTTAAACTCCCAGATGGGATCTGTTTAATTATTACAAATATTATTTTCAACGTTTTATCAAGTTTTTTACATAGAAAATTAACATACCCACATTTGTTTTGTCCTGACTCCCCTTTTTTAATCTTAGGTTTGAGATTACAACCTTATTGTTGGATTTAAATCATTTACTTATGTATAAACAAAATATATATAATATACAGTTGACCACACTCATTCTTTAAAGGAAAACTCACTTGTCCACATAAAATTATTCATGATAATAATTATTATATACAAGATATGGTCAGCGAGTGCAGTTGGCAACACAGTTCATTTATTTCAGTATAGCATTTACAAGAGGTCTCACCAATTTCACTTACATTTGTCAGTCAACACAAAAGGTATTTATAAAAATAAGTAGTATAAATTTTAGTGTAAAACATATTTATTTAATCATTAATTAGTTCACTGTTAAGTCTAATCATTCATTTTTCTTAAATATTTTGAATTAAACAATTTTTTGTCGGACCATTTCCATGTGCAGATTTAAATTGAAAGAATAGTGACTGTGTTGGCATATTACATGAAATGGTGAGATTTGTGGTTTGGAGGGTGTGTAATTTGGCCGCTACCATTCATTTCCTTTCGATTCTCTTCACTGGGTCGTCTGTTAAACACGTTTTGATGCACCATCTTCACAGTTGGGTCGCAGACCCAGTGAGATGAGGATAATGACCAAATTACATTACACGTTTTCAAAATAACTAACATCCGATGAAATTTAGTACAATTTACATTGATAAACTACACACACTTTATACCTGATCGTCCGAAAATGGAGTGAGTATAACTACGAACGACTAGCTCATCCATTAATTTTTTCTTCTGCCCAAAATAAAAAACACCCAAAATAAAAACTACATATTATATCTGTTATTAAACAAATTGTTTTGACAATGGGGATGGATGTTAAACGTTCTAAATTTTAGGGGTTAAAATGCTTTGAAAGAAAAACAGAATTGAATACAGTACAGACCCTCCTATAACCTGGTCTATATAAAATACACAGCTAAAATAGAAGATTGATGGAAAATTAAAACTGAGTTTTCCATTGCTTAATTTTTTTAAATGTGTAAATGACACCCATTTGGTCTGCTGGCGATAGCTGTTGAACCTGTCCATTTTAATAAAAAAATTTATGCCACACAGAACACCTGGTTTTAATTGTCCTCCCGCTTTCTAAATTATAAAACCATGGAATTTAGAACATAAATCTTGAAAAGAAAAATAGTTACAGTCCCTCCTATAATCTGTTTTGCATAAAATACAAGATTGGTAGAAATCTCCCCGTCCATTATAATAAAAAAAATTTATGCCATAGAACATTTGGTTTTAATTGTCCTCCAGCTTTCTAAATTATAAAACCATGGAATTTAGAACCAAAAACATAAATCTTGAAAAGAAAAACAGTTACAATCCCTCCTATAACCCGTTTTGCATAAAATACAAGATTGGTAAAAACCTCCCTGTCCATTACAATAAAAAAATTTATGCCATAGAATATTTGGTTTTAATTTTCCTCCAGCCTTCCAAATTATAAAACCGTAGATGTTAGAACAAATACAACTGGTAAAATTTCGGCAGCTCTCGTATAATGCGTTACTATACTGATTTCTGTTCGACATTCCATCAACCTAAACAACTAATTTTTGTACAGTACAGTTTCTATACAAGTACGAATTTGGGGGTTGATTATGTAACATAACCTGCTATATTTAAAAAAAAATTGTTTTGCTTAATTTTCAACGATTACAACTCATTATCGATTTATAATTTTAAATTTAAAAAAAGGAAATTGGGGATAAACAAAAAAAAATTAAATAAAATTATTTATTTACATTTTGAACATATGACAAACATTTGATTGAAATACTGAATACTGTATGCAAAAAGAAAATATTTATTTTATATATAGATAAAAAATCAGCTTATATCATACATATCCTGTACCTGCATTAGAACAAGCTTCAATAGACCAAAAATAATGTGTTTTGATATAAGTTTCCATAGGAGTTGAGATATTAATATTATTTCTTTTTGCATATAATTATGTCATTTATTTTAATGATAAATGAGTTGATACGTTTAAAGAAAGAGGTTTTTTATATACAGTTCCATCATTCTAAGTTTCAAGATCTGATATATAAGTAGAAAAAAAACCCTTTCTTTAAACTCGTTAACGATTTACAATTCTACGTTAAAACGGTTTATAATGAACCAGATAAAATGTGGTCCGTGAATATATAACATTGCCTAACACTAAGATCAAACCAGATATGTACACAATGATAGATCTGTTTTAAAATCTGGAAGGTCAGTCAATTCCGAGTTTTCTATCATACACAACAACAATGTAAAAACTAAGTTCTAAATTCAACATGCATGGGGTCATTTTATTCTTCTTCTTGTACTGAACGAAGATGAAAAATGCAAAATTTTGAGATTATACATTTGTTTTTTTAGCTTGTTCGTAAGTTTTAGGCTAGGTACGTATTATATGCAAGAAAATATGCATTACAAAAGAAGAAAACTGAAATCAAGTACGGACAACTTTACTATTTTTGCAATATGAGGAAGTAGAACAAACTGTTCTTTGTATATAAAGAATTAAATTTTCTAGAACAAAAAAACAAGTAAAAAATGTGTAGGCGGACTTGTATTGTTAAGATATAATCATCAAGCCCAAACTACAACAATATCAACAATTTTGACAGAAAACTTGCAAACTTTTATAAATGCCTAAACTTTCGGTAATTAAAATAGTTAAAACTTACATAATAATTAAAAGTAGTAAAAGTATATTCTAACAAGTGTACAAAGAGAAAAAAATAATAAAATACAATTCAAATTAAAATTGTACGAGAAAGAAAACAAAAGGAAAGAGTACACGGCAGTATACTAAATATCATTATTTATACATTTTCAAGACTGTAGCCTATTATTATTGCGAGCTGCTTGTGCGAAAAGGACTCCCTGATAGATTGTCCCATTGATGTCCATGCTGACTACCAAAGAGTTTTCACTGCCACCTCGCCCATCACCTAAAATTTTTTTTAATTTGAGTATATTTGCATAAAAATGAACGATTAACTTAAAACTAGCAAGCATTTTCTCTTTTGTAGCTTTTCTCAATAGTTCGACATGATTAGATGGTCCTTGGCCTATCTTAAGTTTAGACATGGATCGCCTAATAGATGGGATATGAGGATAGCTTTTTATGGATAGAGTGAAGTCGTACGTCATAGTAGGGAGGTTGACAATGGGTCTGTTTTGGAAGGTTTATCAGTACCCCATAGTTCTAATCTGTATGTCGAAAATAGTTTCAGTGTCTTTTTTTTAAATATATATATATTTTTTTTATATTTATTGACAGGTAAGGCTCAGGCCTGGGAAAGGATCCCACCTACACATTATTAAACTGCAGATCTGCACGTAAGAGTAAGCATGTGCCTTCGGAGTATCCGTAATATGTCTGACCAAGAGAGCCTAAAAGCTCTGCACCTGTTTAATTTACTCTGCCATAATACAGAAATGTATGTAACCTTGCTGAATTGAAGCAGTAGTGTCTTAATATTAATTTGTACAGCAGTACAAAGTATCTGTTTAATTCCTGTCTTCAAGTCAGCTCCAGGTTAGGCATGAGTTGAAATAGAACCCAAAGTAGCACAGTCGTTTTTAGGGATATGAGTATTACTGTATGAAGGGATTCGTTTCAGAGGTTTGTTGCATTTGCTTTTTTTTATTTTAGTACACCAGAGTTGGCTCCATTCAGCCATTCTGGTACTCCGAAGCAACTGTAGAATGGGGATCAAAAAGGATAACACCTTAGAAATAGTGAATTATGGAGTGAGTGTTCAATCCTCTTTTAAAAAAATGTAGTTCCTACTCACAGTAAGTTGCTTTCCAACGATCCGGATTTCGAGCCCGTTGGCTCATCATCAGGTTGAAGGATTTCTACAACCACGTCTCTCGACATGAATTGCAAAAGTGAACCCGCCGATACCCCCACCAACGCGACGTTCCAATGAGAAGCTGGTTTTTTAATGGCGCTCAATTTGAACGTGCGAAAAACGGGAATTATAACACAAGTAAATATTATAATGGTAAATACTGTAAGAAATTAATTATAAATTAGTGACTAAAGATAAAAGATAAAAAATTAGAATAATTTATTACCCACCTAATAATAACAATTAATAATAGTTATAAAAATAATAACAATTAAAATAATTAATTTAATTATTTGGACGTTTAATATTATTTATGTACATATTTAAAATGGGGGGGTAGATCAAAATTTATTATATTATTAATGCATTTATCTCCATGTTCAATTTTACATTTTTTAATTTCAAATTTCTCAAACCAATCTAGTTCCCTCCTTCCTTTGTTGAAACTATTTAATATTTAAATTTGAATTGAAATTATGTTTTGTTTCTTTTAGATGGCCCTTAAATTCCGAAAATTTGTTCGATTTAGTCAAGTGTTCTTTTACTCTCGTTTTTATTTCTCTACCGCTTTGTTCTATATATTTAATATCACAATCATTACAATTAAGTTGATAAACCCTGCTTTTTGCCAAGTTGTCTACCTTGTCTTTAGGCTTTGAGAGGATGTTTTTAAGTGAACCTGCACTTCTAAAAGCTATTCTAAAACCTTCTTGTTTAAAAATTTTACTTACTTTTTCTGATAATTCACCAATGCATGGCAAACAACGGAAACCTGATGATACATTTATGGTGGGGTGGCTGAGTCCTATTGTTGATTCTTTTAAAGTTACTTTTTTATTGTTTTAACTAGCAACCTATCAATAAATATTTCTAGATACCCATTGTTTTTTACTAAGGTTTTAATAGTTTCTATTTCTTTTTTATAATTAGCAGGTGTTAATGGAAGTTTTAACATACGGTCTATGAGCCGTATTTTTAATAATTTAATCACAAATATCCCCGTTGAAGAATGTACTAAACTTACAAAGCAAAAACTTACCGAGAATTCTATTAACGAATTTGTAAAAAATGATATAATAGACCTCTTAAATATATGCGGGTTCACTTTTGCAATCCATGTCGAGTGACGTGTGTAGAAATCCTTCAACCTGATGATGAGCTAAGGGGCTCGAAATCCGGATCATAGGAAAACAACTTACTGTGAGTAGGAACTATATTCTTTAAAAAAGGATAACACCTTTGTCGTCGGGATATCTGAGGTGACTAGACCGATCCTTGGCAAACTTTAAAGAATCATTCCATTAGGTAGAAGAGAAGGATTTAGGTAAGATGTTTGGAAAAACACATTTTAGTTGGTATAAGATTTAAAACTAATCAATCACTGATATTAAAAAAGCTGATTTTATTATGAAAAATAATGCAAAACAGTGCAGTCGCAGTTTTTGTTTTAGTTTGTTGTACACCTAGGTCGCACTGATTTGTGCATAAAAATCTGAGGAAAATTTTTGAGAATATTTAAATTTAAAAAAATATATAAGGAATTTAATTTTAAGGATGTTTATACAATTATTTGTCAAAAATAAAACATTACTGCTTTTAATTAATTAAGGTTTTTAGTTGAGATAAAAAAAGTCAGTGTCACAAGCGGGATTCGAACCCACGACCTTCGGCTTCATACCATTTGAGCTAGCGTGACTTCGATCCACTCGGACACCAACTTCCCATCTCAACCCCACCTTTTGAATTTTCCCTCCTTTTTGCCATTTTTCAAATGTCGTGTAATCTATTTGATTCTCGGCGACAAATGGCCGCGGAGAGCTTTAGCGAAGATATACTTCATTTATTAACTTATTAAATTCACTAGTTTTCGTGGTCCGCTTGACCAATTAATTGGTCAAGAGGACCACGAACACTAGTGAACTTAATAAGTTAATAAATGAAGTATATCTTCACTAAAGTTCATTTGTCGCCGAGAATCAAATAGATCACACGACATTTGAAAAATGGCAAAGAGGAGGGAAAATTCAAAAGGTGAGGTTGAGATGGGACGTTGGCGTCCGAGTGGATCGAAGTCACGATAGCTCAAGTGGTAGAGCAGCGGCGTATCTAGCCGAAGGTCCGTGGGTTCGAATCCCGCTTGTAACACTGACTTTTTCATCTCAACTAAAAACCCTAATTAATTGAAAGATATTAATTGGTCAAGTGGACCACGAAAACTAATAAATTACTGCTTTTTCTAAATAAACTACTAGTTAAACGTTTAAAACAATTAATGTACATAAAATTTCCTTTGATATAGACAGTAAAAAAAGTACAGAAAAATAAGTCTCTCACCTCTGCTTGATATTTTTATGTGTGCTCCCGAAATATTGATATCTTCATTGTTATCTGGGTAATGTCTTTTGGGTGGGGGAGGAGGAATGGGCTCGTCTCGCTTTTCAAGGTTTAGCGCTTCCTTCTGTGGCTCGGGTTGCGATGCGGAGTGGTAGAGGTTCCACAATGTAAACCTCGACATTTCAAGAGGGTTTATAACACCACTGGTGCTTTCAGGGGGCGAGCTTGGTGGTGAATCTAAAGTGTCGAAGAAATGGTTCATTATCGAATACTGCTTCAATAAATTCAATTATTCAGTACAATAATAAATACTAAGAGAAGGAAAGAACAACAAACCTATACATACATATATATCTAATAAATATATAAATATGTACACACAAAAACTGCACGTTTTACATTGCGAGCAAAATTCTACACTGTTCTTTAGTCCGATTTCAAATTAAATTATTTTCTAATAGACCAAGTAGTACTTCTAATAAATCTTTTTTTCTTGAACAAATCATTGTTACCTCAAAAATTAAACATACAAAAGTTACACACAAAAAAAATGTTATAGTTAAATTTTGTTGACTTCTGGTCATTATCAAAATATAAATGAAAGCAATAGAAACTTTGGAAGAAAAGGGATAATTATAGTTCACAGTATTATTATATCGAAAAGTTTGATCTCAAAATCTCAAGTTTAAATTGTGCTTGATAAATTTAAAATTTTAAACATAAGAAACAGACAAAAATCAACAAACGAATTACTAAAAATAAGCCATCATGAAAATCATATCACTGTGCAAATTTATACATACTTTGCCTGTGCAGAGGCGGAGTGGAAGTTGACGACCTTAGTTCTTTGTTCAATAATTTAACATATTCGACCATCCTGGCCTCAAATTCCGCTGGAACCATACCAGAATTACCTGCAAAACCAAAACAACACAATCTTATTTACTCATTACTTTTATTATAAACTCTAGTATCCACAATTATGGTTTTTAATGTTGTGTATGTTTCTGTCAACTAATCCTATCATGTAGAATATGTCCGCTGTTGTTCAAAAATTTTCTTGGGTAAGGTAATATTATTTAATTTAATTTATTTTTTTGGTATTAGCTCCATAACCATAACCATGACACATACACATACGCCCCGACAGGCGGACCACCGGCGAGCGCCCCCCCCCCCGCACAAACAGAAAAGACCCAGACCGCCAACCCCAGGACAAGCTTAGCCCATCACAACCACCACTTCTCCCTCACTAAATTTCTTCTTATCTGACATTGAAGTGGGCTAACTAGTAGCTGTATTTGAAACTATGTGCTACATAAATATAACACAGTGTGGTGAAGTGCTATGTTGAAGACTGAAAAATCCAAGATTGAGATATTACATTGGCGTCAAAATAATCAGTGTTGCCAATACACGGACAAAACTTACACACGCCTTAAACTCACGTGTTTTCCCGCTAACTTAAAAAAAAATTCCTAAAGTTAGTTAAATTCACTATTTTTCGTGGTCAGCTTGACCAATTAATATCATTCAATTAATTAAGGTTTTAAGTTGAGATAAAAACAATAAGAAAAATGGCAAAAAGGAGAGAAAATTCAAAAGGTGGGGTTGAGATGGGAAGTTGGTGCCCGAGGGGATCGAAGTCACGGTAGCTCAGCTCAAGTGGTAGAGTAGCGGCGTATGAAGCCGAAGGTCGTGGGTTCGAATCCCGCTCGTGACACTGACTTTTTTATCTCAACTTAAAACCTTAATTAATTGACTAAAGTTAGTGTTACTCTGAGGCAACATAGGGCCAGAAAGGGTTAACTGTACCGAGGACAGCCGAACAATAATAATAATAATAATACTTCAATTATATACAAGAAGGAAAAGAAAATGAAGACCATGATTACATGTTATTAATATTTTTTGTAACAAGAAACAAATAGGTCTAGTTTAACGCTTCTGTATGTATTAAAATTCACCAAGAATTATAAGACAGAAGATATTGACTAAACCACCAGAAAAGTTTTAATTTATAAAAAAAAGCGGTTGACGCGTCGTGCCTTGCGAATACAGAACGGAAAAGCATTGGGAAATTCTTAAAGTTTACAAGACCGGGCGGGCGGTCCATCAATAACTGTTTGCACAACTAATGAAATTCCTATTTGACAATGCGCTACGTCAAAGCATCGACAACTCGGCCAAAGTGATTCATTTGAAGTCGACCCGGCTCCCTCTCAAATTAAAACAAACACCGATGCCGTACATAAATTACACTTACCGGATACAAGAAGATAAATTATAACTTCTAACTTCCTTTCAATTTATTGACAATGGGGAGGGGGTTGTGGATCTGGTGATCCGCTCGTCAAACCGCGAGATCCTACCTACACGAAGTTCGAGTCAAAACCTCTTAACCTTTCTTGCCCAACTCAGCGCCTCAGGGCGATGCCCAATTTAGAAAAATTAACTAAAGCTTACCTAAGCCCGTGAGTTTAGGGTGGGCGCAGTGTTTTTCCTTCAGTGGTTTATCACTTGTATTAACAACACTGATTTATTTGGCGCCAATCTAAAATCTTTATCTTTGAATTGTCAATTTGCATCATAACCCTTCACCTCATTACTGCATATTGTACCTTCACAGTTATAACTGCCAACCAAATAATTTTTCATATCCAGTTTATTTATAATTTAACCCTTTCTTGCACAAAGTTGCTTCAGAGCAATGCTAACTTAAGCAATTGTGTTTAAGGTCAGCAGGAAATCCCGTGAGTTTAGGGCGGGTGGAGCGTTTTTCCTTCAATGTTTCATCCATTTCATGCGTATAGCATACTGGACATCTGACGGAGAGAACGGTTTAGGGGGAAGAGATAAGGGGAGAGGAGAGTTTAGGAATTCTTCGATCTGACGGACATAATCGGGGTCTATGATATTGGCGTGTAGATTGATCTGCAAAATGATTTCTACATATTTAAGCTTAGATGGAAATCCCGTGAATTTAGGGCGGGCGCAGCGTTGTATTGGCGACACTGATTTATATGGCGCTGATCTATACTCTCTATCATTAAACTCCGGGATATCCGGCTAACGTTTAAAAAAAAATTACTCAAGTTTGTCTAGCTCTAAGGATCTGCATCCTGAGGACATAAAGGGTTAACAACGCCCTAGTCGAACATCATAAACGCGCAGAACATCTTCACGCGTTCCATCGCGATTATAAAATTAAATTCAACGTCTCAAGGTTTTTTTAGGCTAATTGAGAAAACAAAGCAGAGAAACGAGAAAAAAAGGGGGCCCAAAAAGACGTCTTCGGACTGGATTTATGTTCAGTTAAAATGTACGAATTGCTTACAGATTGTGGACAAAGTACCAAACGAACCGACTGAAAATGAACGATGTAATATTAAGGAAATATTAAAATCCGGGCAACCGTCCAAGTTGTAAATAATAAAAGAAATCCGTCTCTGTTCAATCCCGGAGCCGACCCGCGATACCCAAGATTTAATTTAGTTCGAATAAAGATTATTAATTATTTCATATATATTTTTATTAAGTACCTGTAAAAGTGAATTAATAAATAGAGAAAACACAAGAAAAGAATTATATTTAACAAGACGGGAGACTGTTGCTTGAGTATGATTTATTAATGGAGAGCTTCAATCTCCGAGATATAATGAATTGTGAAATACGTCTATTTTGAACCTTGGCACCATCTAAAGAGATTCTATTTAAATAAGACTAATCGTTCAAACCTGTAAACCTAATGTTACGTCCGCCCTCTCCCAATCCAATTTTGACGCTTACTTTATTAAATGGAATTATATTTGAAGGATCAGGAGGGAAAAGGTCATGCTTACCAGGTTGCGCATAGGTTTTACCAAGATCACACCTTCCCAATGCCCGTTTTGTGGAGAACTTGTCACAATAGAGCATATAACAGACGGCAAAGAACTTACAACTTATTATGTAAAGAAAGAAATGCAACCCGAATGACCTATGCGCGGCCTTGAGGCACAGATCGCTCATCTAATATCTCAGGGAGATAAAAAAAAATTTAATTTTGAAGATCATTGTACCTTCATGTATGTGATAGGTTATATGTATTGAAACGATTGTATTTATTTGCGTGAACTGTGGGCTTATCCCCAAAATACCCCGAGTAATATTGAGTACTCTGGGGTAGTAAGAATGAATGTATGAATTTTTTTCTGTAACTTTTTGTAAATGATCGTTCTTCTCTAAACCTTTGGGTAGTACCATTATTTACAAAAAGTGAATCTACATACTCACCCCACCTTCATCATTTCTATGAATTTGTGAATGTAATTTATTAGTGTGATGAGGGGCTTATCGTCAGTTACCCCGAGGAATATCGAGTACTCTGGGATAGTGCGAAGGCTAACCAGACTATCTTGTTTTTATCTTGTCCCTGTGCTTCTGTGTATTTGTGTTATTTTATCCATAAACGACGAGGCCCTGAGGTACAGAGCAGCTAGCACTAGGATAAAAAAAAGAGAGTTTGTTACTGTTATGTCATAAAATTTCATAACTTGACTGGAGAAGAGAATCATTAAAAGAAATGAGTAGGTTTAAGACGCGAGAAAGATAAGAAAAGCAATGCATAGTAGCAATGCATAATCTACATTAAAACATTTAAAAAATCACTTTGTTAAAACAAATTTGTCCAGAAGATTGACAAATTTCGACAAGATATTATGATTACTCTGGACCACTCTACTGTTTTATATAAGGGAATGATGCCCATTAAAGCGTTTGCATACCGTAGCTTTTGTTGATGAACATAATCTAAATCATAAAAAAAATAAGCTGTTTTTTTTGCCCGTCCACCTAACTTAGGGAAACTTAAGGGGACCGCACCCATTAAATAAAATTTTGGTTTTTCAAAAGGGCCTTCCTCAGGCCCTACCTGTATGAAGGTAAGCTATAAAAAATAGAATTACAGCCGTACACGCGATGTTATAAATTGTGACTAGCATTCAATAGTTAGGATTTGGCGCAACGTGAAGTCATCAGATGGGTTTTGTCGGTCAGGCCCCCGGGTACTAAAGAGAAGGGGCGAGTTCGTTCCTCTTCCTTCGTCTTATAAAGAGATGATTTTAAAATAAAAACGCTGACTAAACATAAGGGAGGCGGGTCCTCGGATGTGCACCTGTAAACTTTCATCAGCCCGCATACTAATCAGAATCTAATCCTTTCATTATTCACCTTGGATGTTGACAAATTTTGATTGTCGGTCACACATTATCCGTCATAGAAATCTATTTTCATGCTAATGCCGTTTTTCCACTATAATAGTCTGAATGAAAAGATACCCAATGCATAAACAATAATGTAATCTCATGTGGAATAGAATTTTAACACTATTCAATTCATGTAAATTACTCCGTTCTTTCGTATCCTAATGAATACTCGACAAGAAATATGTCTTTTGAATACAGATTTTAAGAGAATGTCTGGGGATATTTTTGGGGGGAGAGGATAAAGGGCTCGCTCGTGATGGACGGGCGGCGGACACAGCTACGATCCTCAGAGGATTCTGATTGTCGCTATTGTTCTCCGTTACAGTTGGTATCTTTGAAAAATAACCCCGCACTTTAAGATGTTACCACCGTTCATTGGAAAACAATTTTTTATGGGAGCGGAGATTTTCGTTTGCTAAATTCTAAACAAGAATTAACCCTTTATATCCTAATAATGATGGAATTGGCGCGAAATAAATCATTGCCAATACTGCAGATTCAGAGCAAGAACAACACTGCGCCCGCCTTAAACTTACGGGATTTCCTGCTAAACCTTAAACAAAATTGCTAATCCATACATGTTTAGATTTCATAATTGCTAATGTTGGCGTTGCTCTGAAGCAACTTTAGGAGAGAAAGGGTTGAATTATAAACTGGACATCAAAAATTTTATGTTTGGCAATCGATACAAGATGGAGGGATGGGGTGAAGAGCCATGATGCAGATTGACGATTCAAAGAGAGAGATTTTAGTTTGGCGCCAAATAAATCAGTGGTGCCAATATTGAAACAATTAAAATTGGATGAAATATTGAAGGAAAAACACTCCATCCGCCCTAAACTCATGGGATTAGCTAAGTACCTATGGTGATTTGGTCCGTCAGACGCGTTTCGACTCTCCGCCATCACCAGTGTTAGTTAGGGTGATTTTTTCCTAATATCTTCTTTTATAAGGCCAGGAAATATTAAAAAGCATCGCTTTTTAAAATTTCTTTTGTCTGTGGGCTGACGGGCCTATAATTTGGCCGCTACCAATTTTTGATGGTTAATTTTGGATTTTTCTTGCAGTGAATCCGTTGTTGCCTACCGGCAATGTTAAAAAAATGAGAAAAAACCATCTTGTGCTGAATACAACTTTAAAAGAAACTACCACTCGGATGATGTTTTATACAGAGTGTTTCGAACATGATGATATTCATACATAAATAATAATAATAAATTACTTGACCGCATTAAAACTAAGGAATTATAAAAGCAATTGGTGGTGAAGAGCCATGATTGCAGATCCCAAGATGCAGATTTTAAATTAGCGCCTATGATAGCAGTTTTGTCAATACACGGGCAGAAATTCTACAGAGTCAACATTGCCCCCTCAAACTACTAAACTCACGGATGTCGCGCTAACCTTTAACAAAATTGTTAAAGTGGATTCACTTTGGGCTAGATAGTGTTAACAACAGGATTTGAAATTTTTTATCTGACAGTCAAATATATAACAATCGATCGGATGGTGGTGAAAAACCATGTAGACTGAAGATTCCAAGATTGAGGATTGAGAGTGGCGCCAAAAAATTCATTGTTGCCAACTCACGGGAAGAAACAATGCCCCCCCACGGGATTTTCCGCTAATGATGATTAAAACTGCCAAACTTCGTGTTGTCTGAAGCAACGTATGGCCAGAAAGGGCTAAACCTTTTTCTTACACTCTCTAGACTCTCACTGATGATGGCGATATTCTTCCCTGTGGTACTCTACGCCCTGAGAACGGTGCGAGGATCTTTTTAGACCGCTTTTTTTTCTACCGATTCTACGATTAGGCAAGAATAGAACAGGAATTGAACTGTTTATCGACAACTATACCCGGCGCCTCTACTCCAGAACGCCACTTTCTGCTGCTCCATTCCGTGTTGGTGTGCCAAGGAGATCATGTAGGGACCGGTATTCGCAAATAAAAACATACTCTGTACCTTCGCATACAACAACCCGCAACCACCAAGAGCATGAATGAAATCAGCGCGAATTTTTTATTTATTTTTATTGCAAGAGCGCGATAAGAACTACTTTCCTTTACTAAATATGTTTAGAGTGGAGAACCCGTTAGTTATACTCCTATCAAAAAATTATTCACTTTCCTAACTAGGGAGGGACTAGAGGAGGCGTCTCGGAGGTTTGTCGAGAAGGGTTCGGGATTAAAAGTGATGGACTAGTCGTGCTAGGGTCTATGAACGCGTCCGATCGTCTTGCAGTTTCGAGGACAAATGGGACCTGAAAGTGTACGTATCAAGGTTGGATACGATACCTTGAGCAATGGTTCGAAACGATCTGAACTTGATTCTTTAGGTTGGAAGGCTTGAACTGCCGTCGATAATTGCGGGTTGCATGAGGATTTGGCCAATTTTTCTGTCGGCCTTTCAAATCTGCAGCCGTTTTGACTTTCTATGTAATCGGACAGCCGATAGTACGTTGGCACTTACCGGTGATGTTGGGTGGTAGAAGCGACTGGTGATGAGGCGGGATGTGATTGTTGTTGTTGTTGTGATGATGCGTCGAACCGTTTAGCGCTCTTCCAGTGACGAGGCTCAGCGGGCTCTGCTGTCCTGGACTCCTCTGCAACATTTCTGCATACGTGCCGTAACTCCCTCGTCTTCCCTCCCGTCGGTTTCCGTCGATTGCCGCCTGAAGTTCACCGGGTGTGCTCAGCCTCCTTTTCTCGCATTCGTAAGGATATAAGTATTTCATATACCTAAAAATGAAAAGAAAGGAAAAAAAATGTAATTAGAAAAAAATCATATTGGCTAGACTAAGAGGATTTTAAATAAGCGGAAATGAATTTTTCCTAAAGAGCAACGTAACAAATTACCGAAGCATCCGAGTCGTGACGTTGGTCACGACTGAATCAAACGACCCTGCATAAAGAGGCTGAATTATTAGTAGAAAGTCAAATTTATCTTTGAATAAATAATTAACACATTCCATGCTTAATAAAGGTCAATTATCTTTCAGTTTTATTCTTTCTATCCATATTTTTGTATTTTAAATCTAGGACAATTGCCTTGTTTTTGAGAATAATTCGCCTATTTGTCCAATTATTCGAGTTCTAATGAGATTTCGGCTCAGAACGGGCACATTGTGCAGGCTATAAAATTCTTTAATTTCCCTTGTGCTCACGCGAACTCTCCTGGAAATCAATGTTGTGCCAGACATGTTGAACCTAGACGAAGCACGACTTCACGTCTATTACAATACATCGAATTTTTACTAGGACACCGTGCGACGCTGGAGATACCTAAGTTCAGAGTAAAACGCCCAATGACAAAAATTAATTTAATATTCCTTTTAATATATAATTTGAAACATCCTTGTCAAAGACATTTCGTTCACTCTGCGTAGATTTAAAATGACAGAAGGCGTGTAACACGCCGTCCCGACGTCGTCCGCTATAAAAATATCCTTTGATCCATTAGGGCCCGATCATTACGCCATTCATTAATATACTTTACAAGGCTCCCAAAGCGATCCCATTAAAAGAAATACCTTCCATGTTGTTTTTTTCCCGTCCTTTATATTTATAGTTCAGGACTGATATAAATTTATAATAAAACTACTGACTAGAACTGAAGCCCTGTCAAATGTTTAAGTAGAATTATTCGAGCCGATAAACCATGGGAATTGCGTGTTTGAATACACTGAATATAGTACAGTCCACCAAACGGTAGGAGAGAGTTCATTAGCTTTAGTGTCAAAATTGAAAATGCTAAGTGGCACCTTTTTAGAACTACCTATGCCTAAACTATCAACTAGCTCTCTTATTCCTCGAGTGTGCTTTAGTCGTGATAACGATTCATAAAAACCTATTCAAGTACTCAAACCTGGAGGACCATGTATAAGAGAATTGGTAAACAAATTTTTAAAAAACCTGCTTATTTATCGCAAAAACAATGGACGGCAGCTACGAGATTCTCTTTTCGAATACAGAGGAAAAGAAACCGAATATATTTGAGTAAAAATTCTGATTTATAGGTACCAAGCTGAAATTGTGTTTGGTTGGTACAAGTGTCAACGGAAGGTTATAGGAGAGCAAAAAGCAAGGTTACCAAATTTATTAATTATTGCAATTAATTTTAAATGAACGTCGATGAATTATTATTGGGTGAGTAAACAGATATAATCGGTTTCATAAATATAACGAATTGTACTTCAGTTGCTTATAGTGTTGACAGAAATATTAAACTGAAAATGTGTTAGATTGGTAATTACTATTGACTTAGTAAGCAGATATAAATCAGTTTCATAAATATATCGAATTGTACTTCAGTTCGTTCTTCGATTGACAAAAATATTAAACTGAAATTGTGTTAGGTTGGTAGAAGTGACACCGGAAGGTTATAGGAGAGGAAATAGCAAGGTTGCCAAATTGATAAATTATAGTAATCAATTTTAATTTAATGACGATTAATTACTTTGTTTCTTGCATCAACCTAACACAATTCAGTTAAAAAAGTTAGATTTTTGTCAACCCATGAACTAGCTTAAGTACAATTCGACATATATACATAACTGATTGTATCTGCTTACTAAATCAATAGTAATTAATCAATGTAGTAACTATTTCCCCTCTTAAAGCCTTACGTTGTCACTTGTACAAATCTAACACAATTTAATCGTAATTAAATTAAAATTAATTACTATAATTAATCAATTTGGTAACCTTTCTATTTCCTCTTCTATAAATTTCCGTTGTTACTTGTACCAACTTAACACAATTTCAGCTAAAGCTTTGACAACCTAAGAACTAACTGAAGTACAATTCGATATATTTATTAAACTGATTATATCTGCTTACTAAATCAATAGTAGAAATTAATCGCCATTAAATTAAAATTAATTACAATACTTAATCAAATTGGTAACTAAACTATTTCCTCCCTTATAATTTTTCGTAGATAAATCGAATAGTAATTCAGTTGGTTCTTGGATAGACCATGCATAATCCTCCATGGAAGGTTACAGGGAATAAGTTATGACTTGCTTAACGCTTAATTACAGTTATTTTAGATATAAATGTACCAATGAAATAATTAATATTGCTTTATTCTGTAATTGTGAAGAATTGACTATTTACTGGTGGATCTGACCCAACGTGGATTTTTTTTTTATATCGCCGCCAGCCACAAATCAATGTCAGAAGAGGTGTGTTGATCGTATTCCGACCCGCCTGTCTCACTTCGATTCTCTCCGCCTAAATCCGTACGGGGTTCTAAATTTACATTCTTAAACTCGGATGTCAAATCCGAGATGCTTAACACCCCGTGAGTTGGCATAGCGTATTTCAAATCGACCTTTTGGCAGTTTTGCGGGGGGACTGAATCCTCTGGGACCGAAAATCCATATACAACAGATTAGGTTATATACATAGTAAAAACTTGCAATTAGAATGCGACCAATTATCCATAAAAAAAGATAGAAGAAAACGTTCGGTGGATTGTTGCATTTTTCGTTTAGCCGAGCCCAAACCGGACAACCGCACCGGAGTGCGAAAAACTGGTCTGGCAGACCATAGACGATCAATAACGGCCGAATTACAAGCTCATCAGCCCGCAGACCCCACGAGAAAATTGTAATTATCGGAAACAGTATACAATTTGCTGAAATAATTATTTTCAGTATTCGGAGTATCGACCACTTTTTCACTTATGAACACTCTGGATCAGTATGGTCTTGAAGAAGAAAGAAAGCAAATTTAGTTGCTACTGCCAAGCTTACGACCTATTTTAAGGTCATCATCAGGGCCAAACAACCTTAAATCTGTAGACATATTGAGGGTTGTTTTTCCTGTAATAGTACGTAAGTTTAAACATTATTGGACATTTTGGTCTGCCTACACTCGTTGGGTTTCTGTTTAGCATGTCGCCATTTTCAAAGCCTCTTGAGTTCTAAAAACAGTAAAAAGTCTGCCAAGTGGGTGGGCAGTATAGCTTCATTTGTCTGCATGCACATATGTTAATCAGATTGGTATAAAATGCATAGGGGGTCATCGGGAAAGTAACCCGCATAATCTCTGAAAATTTTATAAAAATTGGTCTCAAGGTTTGGAGTTTTGCCGGTTACGGAACTGACCACAGACAGACAGCCTGACACTGAACCAAATTAATAGAAATGATGAATGGTGGAGTGGGTGTGGTGTTCAATTGTGTGTTTAAAAATTTAAAAAGGACTGAACCAAATTTGTTCAGAAAGGTCTGAAACGCAAAATGCGAGTAGAAATTTTGATTGTATACAAAAAATTTTCCGTATGAATTTTTATTCTTCTCTTGGGCTTCTTTACCTTCGGTATAATTCCCCCACAATATCTGACATTTTTGTTTTTAAAAATCACGCGGTTCTACTCTATTACCTATTACTCTATTATTAAAGGATAGCGACCCAGAGCGCTTTCCCTAAATTATTTCTATTTTGTCAGTTGTCAAATGTAAATTGTTTTGCAAAATAAATTTATCTATCTATCGTCTTTCGTTAGTTTGGAAGCAAACGTTTAACCAGTTCTTGCCCAATGTTGCCTCAGGGAGGTACCAAGTTTAGCAAGTTTGTTAGGTTAGGAGATCATGCGATTTAGGGCGTGCGCAGTATTGCCCCTGCAGTGTTTTTTACAGTATATTGGCAATTGATTTTTTTGGTTCCAATCAAAATCTCAAACTTGGTACTTCAATCATGGTTCTTCACCACCTCTGCATCTCGTTTAGATTGTCTAGCAAATAAAATTGTTCAAATCCAGTTTATAAATTAACTCTTTCTTGCCCAATGTTGTCTCAGAGGACACCAAGTTTAACAAGTCTGTTAGGTTAGGAAATCCCGCGAGCTTAGCGCGGGCGCAGTGTTGCCCCTGCAGTGTTTCTTACAGTATATTGGCAATTGATTTTTTTGGTTCCAATCAAAATCTCAAACTTGGTACTTCAATCATGGTTCTTCACCACCTCTGCATCTCGTTTAGATTGTCTAGCAAATAAAATTGTTCAAATCCAGTTTATAAATTAACTCTTTCTTGCCCAATGTTGTCTCAGAGGACACCAAGTTTAACAAGTTTGTTAGGTTAGGAAATCCCGCGAGCTTAGCGCGGGCGCAGTGTTGCCCTTGCAGTGTTTCTTCCCGTGTATTGGCAACGCTGATTTTTTTTGGCGGCAATATCCACCTTGGATCACTACATCTAGTACCGATTGGTATATACGATAAAAATATTAATTTATTCTTTGCATTATAAATAAAACATTTATTTAGGACTAGTAAACAGGCCATCATCTTCATCAAGGTAGCCTTCACAATTATCAAAATAGTTTTGATGGATGTAGTGCGTTCCACCGACCATCTCATTGTCAGACTCTTTTAATTCTTCGTCTTCTTGTAAATTCCCTTCCTGTTTTCCTCTTGTTCTGCCTTTTCTCGTTGTGCTAACATTTCTTCAATGTTCGTTTGCTTGGCGGATGTAGCGGAACATGCGTTTATTACACTGCGCTGGTCTGAGTTCCATTTGAAATCTCTCTTATATGTAATCCAACTGAAACGACTTCTGATTCTTGGCGGACATACCCGTGTATTACGCTTCAATCTTGAGTGGCAAACAGTCGTTTTTATATTTCAAACGCTGCATACCGTCACCGGGATGGTAAAAGCAGAATCGGGTGAAACTCGAGAGGCGGGTACGTCGGCAGGGTTTGAAGAACAGGGCCAGACAGCTGCTCTCCCTGTGCGATACCGGGAGACTCGACGTTAAAAAAAAAGCGCAGTTCTTCCTATTCACTTCCTGCTATTTCATAGACCTTGTACACTTCAACTTATCAGGCTCTTTTTTAATATTAACACATTCTTGCTCCTCTGTAAATTTGTCGATATCGTATATGACTTTTATAATCAACGAGCAGTTCGGACTTTTTTCCGGCGAGCAGTTCATCATTGCTTACCTGGAACCTATCGCCGCATGGACATGGATAATAATAGTAGATCTCTTCCTCCTCGTAATTCCAAAATCTTCAATTTCTATTTCGTAGTGGAAAACAGACGTAACACGGAGAGAATCTCGAACCTTCGGTTTTCGTCTGTGATAATGTTCGATTGGTATATTTGCCAAACAGATAACAATTTTCAAATCCCATTTGTAAATTAACCTTTTCTGGATTAACGTCCATTCGGAACAACAATTTTAGCAAGTTTTAGATTTTTCCGACAAACGCCACCCTGAAACAGAGCGAGGATTTTCGGAACGAAATGACCGGAAACTCAGTCATATTCATCCTTATTGCTATTGAAAACCAAAACGAAGTTTTGCAGATCTTCGGAATAATTATTAGCCGTGTTTGTACCGACAGCTCACGAATGGGCCATAAAAATGAACCTCGAGGCCTAACGGCCGCGTCCTCAGTCGAAAACGCAGAGTTCAATTCTCTGCTTGAACATTTCACATATATTAATCCATTTATGTTTAGTGGCCTAATTGACCATTTTAATTATTTCAATTAATTATTCTTTTTATTGGTTCGAATCCCGCTCGTGACACTAACTTTGTCATCTCAACCAAGACCTTACATAAAAAGAATAATTAATTGAAATAATTAACATGGTCAATCAAGCATCTAAATATAAATGGATTAATATATAATAAATAAAGAAGTATCACTTCACTAACTCGTGGCCATTTCATAAGTCGCTGAGAATCAAATCCTGATTACACGACATTTGAAAAAGGGCAAAAAGAGGGAAAATTCGCAAGGTTGAGATGGGGAAGTTGGTGTCCGAGTGGATCGAAGTCACGATAGCTCAAGTGGTAGAGCAGTGGCGTATTCAACCCGAGGGTCGAGGGTTCGAATCCCGCTTGTGACACTAACTTTTTCCTCTCAACCAAGACCATACATAAAAAGGATAGTTTTAGGATAGGACATATAGTTTCGCGTAAAAAAGGTTTGTGAACGAATTTTAACCAGTGAACTTCACCGATGTTCAAACCTGAAAAAGGCCAAAACGTTAGTCCGTTTGAAAATACAATCCGCGAATCGCTTGACACATTTGTCTGACTCGTAGCGACTTTTCTATCTAAATTTATAATTGTAACGCCCCCGTTGCCAAATAATTACAGACTCGTCTAACGCGATTCGGCCTTTATTAATAATAACCCAAGTTGAAAGGTAAAGATCTAATGGGATTCCGTCCGATTCGGGCCCTTTCCTTTAGCCTTTCTAAAGCTCACGTCAGATTCACAGAGAGGAAAAGAGAGAGAGAGAGATATGGAAAGAGCGCGAGTGTAAAAACAGTCGGAGGGAAGAAGCTCACGGAAATTAGAGAGAAGCGAAGATGAAAGAGAGAAAGAGAAGTGTGGGAGATAAATAGAGCGAGAGAGGGGGTGGTTGTCAACCTGACAGACAGTGATGGATGAGAACTGCCCGGCCGTTTATTCCCGTAATATAAATATACGCGCTCCGATTCGTGACGGATTGGATTTCGATAAGAAGGGGCCACCGCTTCACACCGTCTCCATTTGCCAAAAACGGATAAAACATTTCAAAACAGATCGCGAAATGAACGCGCCCACGCCTTGTTTCAGAGCAAAAACATTCGGCAAATATTATTTAGTCTGCTTTGGCACGTTTCCATATCGAAAGCTGGTGCATTGCGCTTTGCCTGACCCTGACACTTCCTCTGTGTCTAAATACCAAATGATAAACCTTCCTCATCCGTATTAGTAGTAGAACGAGGCTAGAAAAAAAGCTTCCTTCTCCCCTGTTCTGCGATAATCGTAGGTTCACTGTTTAATCCGTATCAACCAAGGGAAACTTCGACGGTCTGTGCAGAACTGCTTCGGACGTCTAATATTTAAAAAAACCTGTTTTTCGACTTACTGTGTTCTGAGAGTAAACGCTGCTGAGGTAATAGAAGACGGCAAGTGAAGACCTTTGATGATCTCCTGCCACAACTTTTTGTTAATGACATCGACCAATCCTCCTCGTTGAATTACTAAATTGTACAGTTCGTATAGGTCGAGAACTGATTTGGCCATAATGGGAAGTCTGTTGATCGGCGTTCCTGTAACAATAACAAAACATAATTGAAATATACACAAATTTGAACAACACATGAATAGTTAGAATTCATTAGCTTTAATCCAAAACACTCGTTTATAGATATTCATAAAAAAAAATAAGCGGTGCCGTATGCTTATATCATCGGTATAGGTTTTTTTTATAAGTGCTTTACTACCACCAGAAAATAAAAATCTAGGAGGGCTTGTTTTTTCATTCTTTTAAGGTCGTTTTATGTGAGTGGTGTGTGTTTACTTACAATTTAATTTTATTTTGATATAACAACCTATATTGTAAAAATTTACTCGTTACCGATCATTCTGGTACTATGAGGACATACACAAAAAGAGAATTCTTGTGGTAAAGAGCCATGTTAAAAAATTAAAGGTTCAAAGATGGAATCTTAGATTGGCGCCAAAGAGATCAGTTTTGCCAACAGCTGGATACATAGGAGGAACAACACTGACCTCAACTCGAGATATTTTCGCTCAACTTTAACAAAATTATAAAAGTTGTTTTTCTAAGCCAATATTGAACAAGAAAGGGTTAAAATATAACATTCAATACTAGATGCAGATGTGGTGAAGAGCTCGTTGGAGTTTGAAGGCTCAAAGGTGGAGGTTTTAGATTGGCGCCAAAGCAAACATACATCCTGAAACAATGCATAATGCATGAACAACATTGCGCCTCCCCCTTCCTAAAATGCGAAACAAAATAGCTAAAGTTGTGTCTGAGCCAAAATTAAGACAGGAAGGGTTAATTTGTAAACTTTTAAAATTTAGTTTAAAAAAACCTTCTCGATTTTAAAATTATTATCTGCTAAAGAAATAAATTAATCGATGTGAGATGCTGTGGTGAGCAATGCTGGAGTTTGAAAATTCGAGATGGAGATTTTATATTGATAAACAATTCAATATTACCAATACACGGGGAGAAACTCTGAATGAGCAACACTGCGCCCGCCCCAAAATTTCGGGATTTCCGCTAACTTTTAACAAAATTGCTTCATTTGGTGTTACTCTCACACAACCTTTATTAATAAAAAAGAGAGATTTTCTTTCTCTTTAAGACCCAAGAAACCCAATACTGAAGGTGGCGAAATACCCAAATCCCTCTGACAGACCAATCACTATAAGCAAACTAAAATGATCAGCAACGATCAGGTTCATGTTCATCACCCCACAGACAACATCTAGAAATCTCCCATTTTAACAGAGCAGCTGGTATATCACATGAAACTTTACTTGAAAATAATATGAAAAAGTAATGTAATATCGTTTTGACTCGTCCGGGAAACCCAAACTTTTGGACGTTAAACCACTTACTTTATAAACGCGCGTTAGATATTAGTGTATTCTTTTTGTTTATCTGCAGATTTTTTCGTTTTCGACAATCTTTCGCTTATAAATCTAAATGTTTTGTAAAAAAGGCGGACAATAAACGGAATTACTAACGTGTTACACCAAATTTGCTATGAAACATTGGCGTAATTTTTAAATAATGACCATAAAAATGGATGGCAAACACGGCGACCGTCTGTTAATAACAATGTACCTTCTACACTTCGTTATTAAACGAGGAAGTCGTCTGAGACGGATCCTGGAAGGGTGGACATGTCTGGGAAGGGCAGAACCACAGATTCGGCCCCACCTGCGCCACAAATCGGCAGTCTGTGGTAACCCTGTTATTTAGCTGGAACAATGGCGGATGGGCGATCGGCTATCGTCGCGAGGTTCAAGAACGGCGTCCGGAGCCCATTTTGGCCGAAGGTCTATGATTAGGCCGGCTTTTACGGTCGGATCCCGGCTTTGGTGGTGTCTGAAGGATAATTCGGGGTATCCACTAGGAATTAAGGATAATGGGAAAATTTATGGGTAAAAAATTGACGCAATTAAAACAAAGGATGAAAAATAGATAACTGAGCGCGAAGACTGTCGGTTAAAGTAAGCCGTACCTGAGGAGGACAGCCCGTTTGCTAAATAGTAAAACGATTAAGCGGCTAGGTCTTAAACATATTAGACGGGCGAAGAGGCAGTACGACTTTCTGAAAAGTCATAAAACGAATTAACCAGGGCGTGCGAGCCGTTTGTACTTTATTTTGTTTTTGTCCAGGCCCAAAGTCAGTGTTGCGGAATTCATTTCGCCCTGGTTAACATTACATTGTAGTAGTGTGGATAAAAGCGGCAATAACAGCCGGCTCAGTCTTTTCTTTCTTGTTGCAACGTTGTAAAACGCCCGCCGGACGAGGCGAGGAAGGGAAAACGCTTAAGTGAATTACATAAAAAGAACTCGCGGTATTAAGGTGACAGTTTTCCATTCTCGCGTTACCGCTCGGACATTTACAGTCGTCAAATATATCAAAAGTCAAGGGGTTCCAACCGGCTTTATAGCTTTAAAATAAATTACATTCATTTAATCGATTCGGACCAGACAACTCAATAAAACTGATCGAATCTTAGAATGTAGCTTCAAGAAAAGAACAAAAAAGTTTTTTTAGTTACGCTTATTTAAAACGCAATTTTAAGCTTGATTTTAGACAAACACAGTTTTTGGGATTATTCACGTTCACCGTGTTTTTATAGCCTAACGATGTCTTTGAGCACTAAGACGACCATTAGCAATTAAACAAATGGTACCGAAGGATCTGGCATCAAAGTATTTCCCAAGCTGAAGATAACAGCTGTTCCTTTCAGATATTGACAAGAGACAACAAAAAACACAACTCGAGAAGTTCAAGTTGTTTTATTGCTGGCCTTCTCCCTATAATGCCATTAGTAAAATCGTAAACGGTCCAACAATTGCGGGAAAGAGTTTTTAGCATGTTTGGGAAAGCAGGGGCTTTTTGTTTTATCTTAAGGGAACGGATCGCTCCCGACAACAATGTACCAGATGGCCAGATAACACTTTACAGTATATAATTACCGGTTGTGCAAACATGATAAGAAAGCGTTTGGAAAAGTAAAAACCTCGGCAGCTTATCAATAATCAGTGTAGGATGGGTTTTGTCAGTGGTTTACTTCTGTCCGAAAACAAAAATCGTGGACAGCTTGTTTTTCATTCTTGTCAGGTCGTCGTATGTGAGTGACCTTCCTAAACCGTCTGGTTTATATGTTTTTGGTCATTACGGATCATTTTGGTTTGCCAATGACTCGATTGGTCTGCCAGGCGCGTGTCGGCATCTTCAGCGGTGAATATTTATATAAGAACTAACTTTACCGCATAAAACCTCAGTATCTATAAAGAAACCTAGTAGTGAAGAGCCATGTTGGGGACTTAAGATTTCAAGGTGGAGATTTTAGATTGGACCCAAAGAAAACAGTGTTGCCAATAAACGGTCAAAAAGAGAGCAGGAAAATCACTGCGCCCGCCCTAAATTCACGGGATGCTAACAAAATTGCTAAGGTTGTTGTCCTGAGGCAGCTTTAGCAATAAAGGATTGATTTATAAACCGGAGTTGGAAATTTTTATCCACATGGCAAATATAACTATCGATATGCAGTAGTGGTGAAGAGTCATGTTGGAAATTGGAGATTTTACATCGGCGCCAAAGAAATCAGTGTTGCCAATAAGCGAACAGAAACAATGCTGGAACAACACTGCGCCCAATCTAAGCTCACGTTATTTCTCGCTAACCTTTAACAAAATTGCTAAGTTCTTGTTCTGAGCTAACGTAAAGCCAGAAAGGGTTAAAATATAACAATGGATGAAGGTGTCATGAAGAGTCGTGTTGGCGATAGAAGGTTCCAAGATGGGGATATTAGATTGGCGCCAAAGAAATCAGTATTGCTAATTCACGGACAGGAACCACACCTCGCCCCTCTTCTAAACTAGTAAACTTTCAGAAAATTATGTTCGACCAGCCTAACGCCCAACAAGAGTAGAAGTCGTGGGAATTAAGATTTTAATGAATTTTTATCGGTGTTACTTGGTCGAAAAATATATCATTTTCCCCCTGGAAGATATTTCATTATCTACAACCATGTTAACCATACATAACACAGTTTTGACACAGTGACCGAAAGACTTGATTATATTTTTTTTTACCAAGAAACAAAGTCGATATTCGTTTTTCCTACACGAAAAAACTCCTGAATACAAATTTTTGAAAAAATAAAATTTTTCGCCTTACAATTTTGCCAGTGTTTTTTTGAAAAATACAAAATAGTCAGCTTTGAAACTGCTTCGCCGATCCAAGTGAGACTTTAAATGGGAGGAGGAGAGAACTCCTTAAACTGCAGACAATGGAACAAATATTATTTCCGTAAAAAATCATAATGGGAGATAGAAAATAAAATATTCCAGACGTTTCTGCTTATTTCATCCTTCTTTTTCTAACCTATAATGCCATAAAATATAAACTTTGTTGATACTGCCTGAAAGAGCCTGAATTTAGCATCCTAGCGGTTGTAATAAAGTTCAAGTTGTATAAAGGGGACCGCGGTAGCCGAGTGGTTAGCATGAGAGACTCTCACGCCGCGGTCGTGGGTTCGATTCCCACCGTTGCCCCTGGCCCTTTTTTCCCAATAACCCCCCAAATTTGAACACACATATACGAATTTGTCACATGGCTAATATGCATAGTTCATAACGCCAAAAAAAAAAAAAAAAAAAAAAAAAAAAAAAAAGTTGTATAAAATCGAGGGGAGTTATGAATTGTTTAACCGGAACACTGGATCATGGAAACAAAAATTACCCCCAGAAGATTCAACCAAAAAACGTTTATTTTTTTTTATTTCCTATGAAAATTCGTATTTAGGAGCTTTTAAGCTTGCTTAAAATGATTCTGTATTTTTTTCAAAAAACATTTTTTGTAAGTATACTTTACTGAGAGTATCTTTTGGTTTCTGTAACTTTTTATATATATCTAATCTCATCCAATACAACCTTGAATAATATTTTCTTAAACTTGGCTGAAAAACAAATCGACTGATATATAATATACTTGAAATACATACACAAGAAAGGCAGAAAACAACTGATAAAAACCTTTTAAAACACTTTCTC